GACCCGGGCCGCCATAAACTCCGAAGAGTACAAGCTTGCCAACGCGCCACACCTTAGGCCATTTCACAGGCATCGCTGCTCACACTGCGACCGCGGTGGGCGCTGCAGGGTCTGGATGAGGTCTCTGCCTGTCCGGTCTCGGCCTGTCGGGTTTGGCACCTGGAGTCAGGCTGACTCAGCGGTTCCCTCTGGGTCTGTAGGCTTCACAATCCCTGATTTACTCACCTTCAGCTGAACATACCCATGAATAACTCTGGTATACTGACATGATGCTTAGAAGTACCCCGATTGCTCTGTAGTTGATTATTTTATAGGATGTTAGAGGGAAATTTTAGGCTGCCACCCTGGTTCTGACATCATCTCTCTCTACCGTTAATTTACTACTAAACCGTCCTCTATTTTTGTTTTCAAAAATTAATTTTAGCTTCAATTTCAATTTCACATTGAGCTAGCATTTTAATGTTGATGTTTGTGCTTCTTATGTTTCCTTTGTTGTTGATGTTTTTAAGATTGATTTATTTATGCATACAGAATTGGGATACAGGCCAGAGGAATGGGGGAGGGGGGTGAGAGGATTCACCAGAGACAGAGTGGGGATTAGAACAAGCAGAACTATTGAAACACACTGCTGAGGGGAGCAGCAGGCAGGCCAGGAGAGGTCTGCCACCCCTAGTGGGTCACCTCCATGGCCAGGGGCCCAACTCAGGCTATGGAGGCTGCAGAGAGCTCACAGTGCTGCGCTTTAAAACCCCTTGCGCCACCAGCGAGGGCCTGTTAGGCCTCCTTTGTGGGGCTTACTAAAAGGGGTGATCTAAAGGCAGTATCAAGAAGGGTGATGAAGTTCAGCAATTGTACAGGCTCCTCTAGAAATTGGAAGGGCTGTCAAGTCCTTTGACTTTTAGAGTATTGATAGTGGAACTCTATAACTTTGATCAGCTAATTGTTTGGTTTATAACTGCATAATGGAGTAGCTAATCCCAGTGTAGGTATTAGTTATGTAATTAGGAATATTAAAGTCACTTTGTAATTTTGTGTTAGTTGCAGTTTTTTTACACTGATTAAAATTAGCTTTATGGTTATTTGGTTATTATTAAGATAGCTGTACCCTATTTTATACTAAACTATTAATTTGAGCTAATCATTCCCCCCCTCCCCGCAGTGACAGGCATGAAATTTACTGATCCTAATGGTTTAATAAGTCATAGTCAAACTTAGCATTTATAATGTAATTTTTATGACTTTGATGGAGGATAAGGATAGAAAAGCTGGAAAGGAGGCCCCACAAGACCAGAAACCTGGCTCACCCAATGCCAAGAGCTAGAGGTGGGGTAGAAGGGATTAACAGCCATTAACCCAGCAGTTGGAACTAAGATCCCCAGGCCTGGTGCCTAGAGCAAAAGGCACAAGACCCAAGCTGGTGTCAGACTGATGTAGGGAGTGTCAGGAGTTTAGACCTGAAGGTAAAGATATGGAAATTGAGGGTCATTGTAGAAATTTGGCCACTTTCAAATTCCACATAGTTTAGGCAAAGTCAACAAAAAACTAACCCTCCCAAAGGAGTGAGCCCCTCCCAAAGAGAAGAAGCCTATACCAGTGCAGTCTCTGCCCTGGCCCTGGGCCGCACTTCTTCCCACCTACTTTCTCCCTCTGCGGGACAGCAGCCTCCTGCCAGCTAGTGGCCTGTATCTGCCGGAACTTCCTTCACTGACCTCCCTCAGCAGAGGCCACTCTTCTAAGGCTGTCCACCTGAAACCATTCTGGCCTCTCTCAGCAGCCCTTTCTGCCTCCTTATGTCTATGCAAGTGTCCTTTACCCCTGTCTTTTTCCCTAATAAACTGCCTCTGTCTCATGGAGAAACTCGCCTGGGAAACTCACTGCTGAAAGGGCATCTCTGGCAAAACTTCCCAGGGTGAGCCCATGGAACCAGCACCCCAAACCCATTGACTTCAAAAAAAAAAAAAAAAAAAAAGACATCAGTATGTATTACTATATTTGATCTTACTTGGGAGCTTTAGGAAGATGTTCATAAATATGCCTGAGGTCTTTCTATAAGGTTAATAAATAAGTTGTCTGAGTGATAAGCACAGTTTGGTTACAATAATTGTATGTTAGAAAGACACATGTGTTTTGTCCCAACTTCTGTGGCCACAAGAAAGAAAGACAGGAGATAGGCTGAATAAGTAAAGTTTTAATGCTCATGGACAGCAGCTAAGGCAGAACTCTAAAAAGGGGGTCTGCAGCTAGTGCCAACTCATTAGGGGTTCACATTCCAAGGGGTGACTCATCGCTGATGCTAGGCCCAGTTCCTCCCACCTGTATCTCCCAGATGCTAGGCCCAGTTAATTATCAAACTTGGATGGAGGCCCAGTTGGTTATCACCTTCAGCTAGTCCCATCCCGGATGCAAGATCAGTTTATTACCACCTTATCAAGCTTGGATGCAAGGCTCAATTCTTTACTGCCCTAATTCAGTCCTTGTCAGTAAGTCTTTGGTCACTCCCAACAACATGATGTCTAAAATTCTACTATGTCAGGTAACTATTGAGTAACTCAAACTAATGGTTTATGGTGTTGGTGATGCAGTAAATGGGCTCTCAGATAAGCATTTGTGGATTTGCCTCCTTTGACAAATTTTTGATGGAATTGGTTTTCCCAGAGCTCTTAATCAACTGTGGGTTTACTTTTTTTTTTTTCCTTTTCCTTGCAGTTTCTCTTCTCCCAACAGGGTTAGGCTCAAGAAAAGGAATCCCAAACAAAAGCAAATAGTGAGAAAGCTCATGGGCATGGACTCCTCTTCTTCCCTATTCTGACCCCTGTCCCCACCCCATTACCTTTGCAGATTTCCCATTTTTGTTTCTCTTTGTGTAAATAAAGGCTGGTGCCCACAAGTCTCCATCAGCACTAACTTTTACCCCCTCCCCTTTGCAGACTCACCCATCTCCCCTCTTACTTTGTTTAACATTGTATAAATAGCTCTGTAACTTGCCAAAGAGTAGGACCATGGTCTTTCAGACTAGTCTGCTGCCCTCATTTGTCCACAAATAAAACCACTTTCCTTTTCCTCAAACTCTGTTTCCTTTTGTTGGCTGAGGGAAACTGAGACCGGTAACATTAGTAATGAACATTTAATATGTCAATGTAAGTTGCCCTTGAAAGCCACAGCTGAGTCACAGTATTCCATCAATTAAAAAATGTGAAGTGCATGATGTCACAGTCATGTGTGAGCCTGGTCTGATTAGCATTGGTTTTGACATGTCCTACTCTGAGGAAAGAGAGTGATTTTAACTGGATAGTTCTGAAGATTCAGATTCTGGATAAAATTTCCAACACCCTCCCCCCCCCTCCACACACACACAATATAGGCCTTAGAAGAGGGGCATGTGTTTAAAAGGACTGATGATTTCTGAAAGCCTAGTGATTAAAAAAGTTTGTTTCTATAGTCTGATTGCTATAAATAATGCTGCAATGAACATGGGAGTGCAAATTTCCTTTTGAATAGTGTTTGCGCACTTTGGGTATATACCTAGGGGGGAGATTGCTGGGTTGTATAGATCTATTTTTAACCTTTTAAGAAAACTCCATACTGCTTTCCAGAGGGCTTTGGACTAGTTATATTCTTACCAACAATATAAGATAGGAGATCTGTAATAACTGTGACAGCTATTCCTCTATAAATGAGGGCAAAGGATGAGCTGTTTTCAGGTGTAGATTTGTGGTAATGTTACAGGGCAGAGAGAGTGGGGCACCACTGAACCCCCAGACCTGCCTGCTCTAAATAGGTTCTGCCATCCACCACCTCAGGACAAAACATTTAAGACTTTAATGAAAAGGAACTTTAATACAGTGACTATACAATACAGAAGACAAAGAGTATAATTTCTAAATCAAACACCTGAAGTTACTTGTTCCCTCATGGGCAAAAGTCAACCGAAAAGGGATTGGCCCAAAGCAAGGCCTGAAAAGCCCACCACAAACCTAATGCACCTTCTGGCCGGAAACCATAGAAAAGGGTCAGAAATGGCCAGATAAGTCTGGGAGGAAAAGAGCACAATCAAAATCAATATAAACACTGCCATAGTAACCTCCCTACAGGTCTCTCACCCACATCGCTTTCAACCAGTCCGGAGCCAAGAAATAAACATGGTTTCTTCACGGCTCCCTTTGCTCAATTGGCTTCCTCAGGTCTCCTTCAGGCTCTCCATCCTGCTTCCTTCCTCCTCCGATTCTTCTGTTCTTTTCTCTACTCAGCTCCACCCTCCTTCTGGGTGGGGCAGGGAACCAGGAACTTCCCATTTTCCTGGGGACTACCCTGTTACAGTAACTGCTGCAAGATACCTCTATAAATGAGAGGGAAGAGTGAAAATTACAAACTCTTTGCTTATTCATTCTCTCTCTCTTTTTTTTAAGATTTATTTATGCATACAGAACTGGGGTACAGGCCAGAGGTGCAGGGGCGGTGAGAAGATTCACCAGAGACAGAGTGGGGAGCAGAACAGGCAGATCGACGAAGTACACTGCTGAGGGGAGCAGCGGGAGGGTCAGGAGAGGTCTGCTGTGCCATGTGGTCACCTCCGGGACGACCATACTGAAGTGGTTTTAGCTTTTTAGTGCTGTACTTTAACCTGCTGTGCCACAGGGAGGGTCCTCATTCTCCATCTCTCTCGCTCCTTTCCCCTCCCTTTCTGTGTTCTCGGGTGGCCAACCAGAAGTGGTTAACCACTGCAACTGCGATTGGCTGCACTGGGAAAAAGAGCAGAGGCTCTATCGAATCACAAATATATGTTTTTATCCTAGTTTCTAGGCAGCAGGTCTAAGTTGTTGCTCTCAGCTTCTAGGCAACAGGTCTAAGTCGTTGCTCTCAGGGGAAACCAGCCTGCGGTTGCTATGGAGCTAGGACGCTGCAACTTGCAGAACAACTAGGAGCCTTACAGACACTAAGCCTCTGCCTTGTGTTGACTACTTGCGTATCTGCATCCTCCCTTTATCTGCTTTACTTCTTCCATGGAAGACGTGGCTTCCCTGAATCAAGAGAAAGAAAACCAAGAACTGGAGGAAGTAGTACCACCATGGGAAGACATGACAGCAGTTTCTTCCAAGGATCCTGAGCCAGAATTATTACAGCCCTTTGAGTCAGAGCTGGGGATGGAATCTGAGTCCCAGGGCAGGAGCAGTACTCCTCCAAGCCCCCAGGCTACAGTCGGCACATCTCTGGATGAAGTGGCAGGACCTGGTGCACTGTCTCCACATTTCCCTCTAAAGGAGGGCTCTTCCATGCCTTCTCCCCTGGCCCTGGACAGGCAGGACTTTGCAGCACCATCACCAGCACAATCAGACAAGAAGCCTAGTGTGATTCCTGAGAGTGTGCCACAGCACTCTGACCATCTGGAACAATCATCTGATGCAATGAAGGAAAACACCTTTCAACAGTCTCAGCTTCCTGAGCTTCACCTGTTTGAAGAGCCAAGAGAAGCGGGCCATAACAACTTTAAACAAAAAGAACTGCGATTTGACTTTTTAGAGGAGGAAGACTCAAACAGCTACTATGATCTGAGTCAACCTGAGCCTGGGGCCTGTGAACTGGTCCCGAGCATGCTTGATATTGCCATTCAGAATGCTAAAGCTTACCTTCTGAAGACCAGCAGCAGTTCGGGCTTAAATCTGTAAGTCATGGAGGGGAAAAAAATTGTCAGAGAAAAGAGGCTGTTAGTATCTCATTTGTGTGAAAGTGTGTTTCTAAGGGTAAGTGGAAATATGTTAGAAAAGGTCTGTGTTAGTAAAAGACACTAATATAACTTCATCAAAAAACTCAAAATAGATGGCTGGCAGGGAGTCTTTACCTTCTTTAAAAACCTTTGTTTCACAGAAATAAAACCTAGGGATTAGGAGTTGTGATATAAAAAGAGTCATAAAGAGAGTAAACTCCGAGCATCTCTCCAAGATGCTCCTAATAAATAATTGTTATCAGTGACAAGGTACATAAATTGTTGATCTAAGAATTCTCGTACTTTTATTCCCATTTTTGTTGAGTGTTTTTATCATAAATGAATGTTGAACATCATCAAATGATTTTTCAGCATTTACCCAAATGATCTTGTGATTTTTACTTTGCTTTTTATGAATCTGGTGAATGATGCTCATTGGTTTGATTCAGTTTTGCATTCCTGGGATAATTCTCTTAATGTAGTACTACTGTATTCAGTTTGCTACCATTTTTGCATCTATGTTCATTAGAATTATCTATCCATCTATGATTTTTTTTGTTCTGTCTTTGGTTTGGGGACTAAACTAATGTTGGCCTCATAGAGTAAGTTGGGTAGTTTCCACTATCATCAAATTTTTTTGAAGTGTTTGAGTAGGATAGTTATTAGGTCCTCTTTGAAGATTTAGTAGAATTCATTGGAGAAGCCTTCTGGTCTTGGTCTTTTGGTCTTTTTTTATAGTCTTTTTATTACTCTTTTAATTCCTATGCTCATGATCAGACTGTTTAAGCCCTTTATTTCATCCTTGAAGGTTGTATGCACCTAAAAATGTGTCTGTTTCTTCAAGCTTGTCCAGTTTGTTTTCATAAAGGGATTTCCAGTAGGTTCTCATGAGCCTATTTATTTCTGCAGCACCTCTAGTAATTTTTCCACTTTTTCTTCTGATTCTGTTTATTTGGGGTTTCTCTCTTCCTGTTTCATAAAAACAGCTATGGGCTTGTTGATTTTGTTCATTTTTTCAAAGAACTAACTCTTGGTTTCACTGATCCTTGGGCTGCCTTTGTTTTCATTTATTTCTGCTCTAATTTTAATATTTTTTTCTTCTAATTTTTGGATCTGTTTGTTGTTCCTTTTCTAGTTCCTCCCCCCAAAAAGTTAGGTGGATACTTTTTTTCATTTTTATGTGAGCCTGTGTTGCCATGAACTTCCCACATAGTAACTGCTTTTGGAGCATTCCATAGGCTTCAGTAGCATGTCTCTCCATTTCCATTAGTCTCTAGTTATTTTTTGATTTCTTTGCTCAGGAGCATAAAATGTATCTAATTAATGAGATGTCAGAGAGGGTTTCACTAATTCAATTAGGAAATTGAAAAATAAAGCAATGTTTTAATGATATTACAGATCAGTAATATACTTCTTTCAGCTGAGAGTAATCAAGGGATGAAGTATAAAATGTAAGGAAAGGGGAATAGAAAAGAAGTTAAGAAAATGAAAAATGAAATGAAAAATAAATGTTAGCACTTAAACATAAAGTTAAAGTCTCAAATAAAAATCTCAAAAGTTGTCGGTCTCTAATAAAATGTGAAAATGTACCTCACTTTAAAAAATAGGTACCTTGTGGGCCCTCCCTGGTGGCGCAGCGGGTTAAAGCACAGCACTGAGAAGCTAAAGCCATTTCCGCATGAGTTCGATTCCCGCCTGCCCCGGAGGTGACCACATGGCGTGGCAGACCTGTCCTGACCCGCCCACTGCTCCCCTCAGCAGTGTACTTTGATCATCTGCCTGTTCTGCTTCCCACTCTGTCTCTGGTGAATCCTATCACCCTCCACATCTCTGGCCTGTACCCCAGTTCTGTATGAATAAATAAATAAATCTTTAAAAAAAAATAGGTACCTTGTGTTAATATGCTAAATATTCATATCATATTGGAAGCATTTCCAAAGGAAATTCTGGGAAATATTCTTTCTGATGTGCTGGAAGTTACTATCAGTGTTTATCCACTTAAAACTTTTGAAAGTTTCCAGTTGTCTCTTAAAACAGAGAACAAATAAAATGCTTCCTCAAGTGTTTTGGCATGGATATTATCTGGAATTTTCTCTTTCTGGGTAGATATGATCATCTTTCTAATATGCTGACCAGGATCTTAGATGAGCGTCCTGAAAATGCTGTGGACATCATTGAAAATATTAGCCAAGATGTAAAGATGGCTCATTTTAGTAAAAAATTAGATACACTTCAAAATGAGAATGAAATGCTTCCAGCATATGAAATAGCAGAGAAGCAAAAAGCACTTTTTCTCCAGGGTAATTTGGAAGGAGCTGACCAAGAACTGGAAGAGGAAATAGTAAGTCACTCTGTGAATTTAAATAGTTTAATTTTAGGGGTCTTTTTTCCCCAATGAGTGATGTGTGTTTAACTTTATGCAACTCTCTTTTATAGCTTCCTACATGATATTTGCATCTTCATTCCATACTATTCATTTCCTTAGAGTTTCTTAGTTTCCAGTGTGTTAAATGTTTCACAGACTTAGCTTTTTGCTATATGTTTGTGTGTGAACTTTCCTTCATATCAAAGAAAATGGTTTATCTTTATATTCTCCTTTGTTCCTGGTACCTGTCTGGGTGTCTATTTCTTATTATATTTTCTTAGATGAATGAATTAATGTCAGATAATTAAAAATTAGGATTTAGGGGCTCTCCCTTGTGGCTGAGCAGGTTAAAGCACAGCACTGAGAAGCTAAAGCCACTTCAGCATGAGTTCGATCCCCGCCCGCCTCCACACCCACTGGAAGGTGATCCCACATGGCAGGCAGACCTCTTCTGGCCCACCCACTGCTCTGCTCAGCAGTGTACTTCTCAGTTGGCCTGTTCTCCTCCCCACTCTCTCTGGAGAATCCTCTCTCTGGCCTGTACCCCAGTTCTGTATGCATAAATAAATAAATCTTAAAAAAAAAACAAACAAACTAGGATTTAAATCAAGTTACTTATTTTCTACTCTATTAGAATTAGAAATACTCCTAATGTCATTGGCATTCTCTTTCAAGCAAAGGCCTCATATCTTGACATCATGCATATCATGCTAATGAATTGTAATATAAGAAGAGAGGGATAGTACATTTCTTATAATCCTTGTAGGCCAAACAGTTCTCTTATGGATAAAATGTTAACCACAGTATTTATTTCCAGGTAGAAAACTGTCTTCCAAATGTAATGGAGTCAGCCTTTTATTTTGAACAAGCTGGAGTTGGTTTGGGCACAGATGAGACTTACCGAATATTTCTTGCCCTCAAGCAGCTTACTGATACCCACCCAATACACAAATGTCGTTTCTGGGGCAAGATCTTGGGTATGGAAATGAATTATATTGTCGCTGAAGTGGAATTTCGTGAGGGAGAAGATGAAGAGGAGGTGGAAGAGGAAGATGTAGTTGAAGAAAGAGATAACGGAGAAAGTGAAGCTGGTGAAGATGATGAAGATGAGTTACCAAGGTCCTTTCACAAGGCTCCCCAGGCTATACCAAAAGAAGAAAGTAGAATGGGTACCAACAAATATGTTTATTTTGTTTGCAATGAACCAGGAAGACCATGGGTGAAATTACCATCAGTCACACCTGCACAAATTGTTATTGCAAGAAAAATCAAGAAATTTTTCACTGGGCGGTTGGATGCTCCCATCATAAGCTACCCTCCTTTCCCAGGAAATGAAAGCAACTACTTGCGTGCACAAATTGCCAGAATTTCAGCAGGGACCCATGTTAGTCCTCTAGGATTCTATCAGTTTGGTGAAGAAGAAGGGGAGGAAGAAGAGGAGGTGGAAAGTGGACGAGATAGCTTTGAAGAGAATCCTGACTTTGAAGGTATCCAAGTCGTTGACCTAGTGGAATCCCTGTCCAATTGGGTTCATCATGTGCAGCATATTCTCCCTCAGGTAGGGGTTTATAGCTCCTAACTTATCACCCAGCTAGCAGGTATTCATTAATACTCCTACAGTGTTCAAATATATACAAAATACAGCTTTCCAGACTGTAGACAGACCATTAAAAAAGTCAAATGACAACAGAATAGTATATAGGTGCCATGTAGTATAGAACTGTGATCCTCAAATTTCTATTTCCAAATGAAAATAAGCTGAATATTTCTATGTATTTTTTGATCATTTTGGAAAGATTGAGATTTATGTGTGTTGTGAAATTCTTTTTTGTAAGAGATAATTAAATATATGTCAATCAAATGGGAATGATATCCCCAAACCCCTGTTACTAGTGTTACACGTTTTAAGTATTAAGAGTTAATGATAATAATAGTACCTTACCACTTTGGTAGATATTCTTTCTTACAAGTGAGAAAAATGCGTTCTTACCCACTAAGATTCTAATAATTTAAATATAATAATAATTTAATTATAATAATTTAAAATACAAATATTTTGTACTAAGTTGACACATTTTGGAATTAAAAAAAGTATCATCTTTTGCTTAAATAGCAGTTTATATTTTGAAAGAATAAATGGTTTAATTCCCACGAAGTAGACCTCCTGCGGGTAACTGCTTCAATAAAATGAATATTCTGATACTTAAGGTCTTCCTTAGTGACTAAAGCTTGCCTATTCATCCCCAGGGGCGCTGTAATTGGTTCAACCCCATACAAAAAAGTGAGGAGGAGGAGGAGGAGGAAGATGAAGAGGAAGAAGAAAAAGAAGATCCAGATTATTTTGAGCAGGAAGTGGGGCCTCCTCTTTTGACACCAATCTCTGAAGATTTAGGTAATTTCATACAAACTATATACTATCTATAGTATATATACTATAGATGTGCATATATAATCATCAGCATTTATATACTTACCACATTAGAGTACACTATATATATGGCATCTTTGTATTGATATATGGCAATCGGAGAACTCTAAAAGTGGCTAATAATCAAGGTTTCACCCCTTTCCCCTGCATGAGTTCTGGGATGGTAGAGAGGAAAGAATAAAGCATAACGCTAACCACATCACCAGGTCTCATACAGAGGTTGTAGGGGTCACACAGGGAGGAAATGTAAGTTCACTATAGCTTCTCCTGGAAATGCTGACAGTTACTTTGGGTGTCCTGTAGATTGTAAACATGTGGCCATGGTGATATAGTAAAATATTAGTAAAATTAGTAGAATTCTGCTCATATTCTTGTTTCTTCCTATTCAGTTTTGGAGTAGTCGTGCTTATTCATGCTTTCATATAGTGATTTTATCTTCCATTTGGCCATCAAAAATTATTCATTCTACTGCATAGACTTCCTCTCTGTTAACAAAACTTTTCTCTATGGCACATATAGCCACTAGCTAACACACAAGTATTCAAATTTCATCGTTCTATAATATTCAAGAAATACCCTTCTGATTCTGTTAAGTTGCTTGATTGTTTTAACTGTTTTTTCTATGTTGTGTGTCTTTTAAAGTTTTGAACTGCTTCTTTACTACATAGTATCCTTTATATTTAGTAATTAAGATTTTGAATTTCTCTTTGGTTTGCAGAGATCCAGAATATACCACCTTGGACAACCCGGCTCTCCTCCAATCTCATTCCTCAATATGCTATTGCAGTCCTTAGATCCAACCTTTGGCCTGGAGCATATGCCTTTTCCAATGGCAAGTAAGTATCTAACAACTTACAAAATCATTCTTGTGACATTTAAATCCTGGAAATTATGATCTATCACTGCAATTTTAAGTCATTCCAAATTTGGGGTTTTCTCCATCTACTTCTCCATGGGAGATAGAAACCTGAGTTCAGGATCAGAGAAACCCAAGAATAACAGGTGCTGCTCTGGTGGTTGGTCAGGTCAACTACTCACATGACTGACCTGAGAAAGACCCAAGGATGGGATGGAGAAAAGGGTGCATGGGTCACTCTTCTGAAGCTGAAGGGTAGTGATGACTCCCAGGGAGGCTCCCATGCTCAGCATTTGGACATGATCTTCCTGGTGAATTCTCATCACAACTTTGGGAAGGGAGGTCATCTGTTTCACATTTGAGGAATTAGGTCTGAATGAGGTGAGATCAGAACACTGCAGTAGCCAATGAAACCCCCAGCCTCTGTGCAGGATGAGCTTCCACCTGGGTCATGACGACCATTCCGTGGGAACCCCAATCAATGCAATTGGTGAAGCTCTTTTCTTACTATCTGTCTCTGTTTCTGGGACCAGGTCCAGGGTTAGGAGTTCTCAGCAGGGAAGAGGGTTATTATAATTTTAACTCATCTTTGACAAATCAAGTCTGTGAAATCGATTTATTCAAATATCTGCATTATCCAGTAAAATGTTAAATTTAGAACATTATGGTAATTCAGATTTCTGCCCTTTCATCTCAATTATCCACTTAATAGAACTAAAATATAACCTTATTTATTTACTTAGTATATTAATGGAAATAATTCTAAATAGTGTTTAAACTAGTTTTAATTGTACATACAATGATTAAAAATATAAATTTAGATTCTCACTTTTAAGAGAATTAGGAGAAGAGGACAATAAAGGTCCTTTTATTCTTCACTCATACTTCCATTTGTCTTATGCTTTCATTTCTTATCTTTCAACCTAGAATCAGAAATTTAGTTGAGTTATGAGGAACTGCCAACATCAAAATACCATTAATGCAACAATCTACAAAATGAGAACATTGTGTTTTTAATCTCTTACTCTGATAAACTAAAGAAGGTATAACATCCCCCACTCTTTCCAACCCCTGTTCCAGTTCCCCATGTAATGACACACCACATAAGTTAAGTTTGGTGTGGATGTGGGGATTGGTTGCAGAGTTGGGATCATAGGCATCATAGTCCTCAACATAAGGCTCTCGTATTTTTAGAAACTTGAAGGCCAGAGAAAGGGGTTGAAGAGGACTAAGTATGGAGAAGTTTTAAGTATTCAAGTATCTTTAAGGTTTCTTTCCTCTCCACCCCTAGAAGAGGTTTGGTGGAGGCTCCTGAAGACCTCTGCTGAAGGACTCAGGAAAAAGAGACCTAGGGAATGATGGCATGTGGGGTTGGAATGCAAAATGTTAATTGCAGGACAGGACAGAAAGGCCAGAGTCCTTGACTATAACTCTCTTTAGAGGTTGCAATGCATTAACACAGCACCAAGTGGTGTAATCCTCACCTCAACCCCTACACAAGCCATCTAGGTAGATCTTCTGTAATTATCTATGAGTGGCCTGAAAAATCACTATAGATAATTAATCCAGTCAGACTCCGCTTAGCCAGTTGGCAGCTTTCAGATTTTTTTAAGGAACACAGTAACCTTTAAAATCTGAGTTTGTTGTTTTTTCTGAAAATAATTATCTCAATGGCTGTGGCCTGGGTGAAAGGTACATTTTGTCAGGTTCTGGTCCCATGGTTTTCTTCACTAGTTAAGCAGTTTGAGCCACACCATCTCCTGTGATAAAAGAATCAATAAAGGCTATCTCATCTCAATCACTTTTAAGTTTTTTGTCTTTTTTAAGTATGGGACTGTGAGACTTTTAAGTTCTTTTATCAGCATGGAAGAAGAGGATCATTTTTTTTTTCTGTTTTGACCAATCTGACACTGAGAAAAAAAGATAAAGTGTATTTTGTCTATTCAATATAATACTTGTTCTATTTTTTTCCCCAAAAATTCATTTGGGAGTAAAATTTTTTCCTTTTTTTCCCTCCACCAGTATTTTTCTTACTGGAAAATTATATAATCATTTTTTTCTTTTTATTTACAGAAAGTTTGAGAATTTCTATGTAGGCTGGGGCCATAAATATAGCCCAGATAACTATACACCCCCAGCACCACCAGCAGTTCAACAAGAATATCCCAGTGGACCAGAAATTACAGAAATGGATGACCCAAGTGTGGAAGAAGAGCAGGCTTTCCGGGCCGCACAAGCAGCTACTGAACTCCCAGTTGAGGAAAATGAAGAAACTGAGGAAGAGGAAGATGAGGAAGATGATTATGATCAGTAAGAATAACTTAAGCCCAGTCTTATGTGAGATTGGTACATACATACCTCGTATGTGGAATTTAACACACACACACAGTGAATTATTCATGTGCAAAATGCCATTCCTTTGAAAATAAAAAATGTGAATTTCATATGTGTAACTATTAACAAACATTAATAGGAAGCCACTCAACAGATTTTTCCAGAAGCTAAAAAAGCACTGTTGTGATGGCTAAAAGAACAGTGTTTAGATATACTCTTTAAAAAGTCTCAGGTTCAATTTGTAATATGGCACTTAGACAACCCACAAAAATTTCCTTAACGGGAGTGAGACCAAATATATTGATACTTGCAGAACCAGTCTTTAATACTGTATGTAAATATTGCATATATACATTTCTTGTATATTCCTTTCTTGTTGGTTAGGGAGAGGGCTTGTAATTCCATTACCTGATCAGACTCTGGGAACACTCAGATTTTTAATGCATTTGTTAATTCTTAAAGAATTTTCTAGGCTGCATTCTCCCTCATTATTACAGAAATTAAATGATTTGCACAGAGATCACTATCTGGGATATCCAAAGATAAGAAACACAATACTACTGCTTCTCATTTAATTATTGCTTTCTTTTTTTAAAAAAGATTTATTTATTGATGCATACAGAACTGGGGTACAGGTCAGAGGGGCAGGACCGGTGAGAGGATTCAATAGACAACAGAGTGGGGAGCAGAACAGGCAGATTAACGAAGTACACTTTTGAGAGGAGCAGCGGGCAAGACAGGAGAGGTCTGCTGTGCCATGTGGATCAGCTCCCTGGCTGGGATCAACTCATGCTGAAGTGGTTGTGGTTTAGCTTCCCAGTGCTGTTCTTTAACCCACTGGGCCAGCAGGGAGGGCCCTAATTATTACTAAACACCAAATAAACCTTAGGCACCCTGAAGCTACCATTAAAAACTAGACATTGCTTCTGAAGTCTTAGCGGCTGGGTTTATGTATAAAAAAGTAAATAAAGAATTAACTGCAACTTAGCTGGTGTTATTATGCAAATATTAGCAAATATTATAGGGTAACATAGAATATCCTCCTCTAACTCTATTGTGAAAGACCAATTAAGAAAAATTCCTAATCCATTGCTTTTATTTTATATGTCAAAATAAAAACATCCCAGACATTCTAATTATTGTAATTATCTAGCCACAGACTGGTAATTTGCAGATCACTTTGAGAAACATTGCTAACATTAGTGTATGTTAAATGTTTCACTTACAGCATGTAATCTAGTCTTGAGCAGTCAGGAAGTACTAAAGAGGATGCCCTGCTAAGAAATAGAGAACTAATGGGAGACAGGTCCATAGCTGAACTAATTATATTCTGAAAGATGGTATTAGGATGAAAAGAGTGAAATTCTGAGTATTGGGACATGAATCTGGGATGGCGGGCAGAGGCGAGATTGTGTGGGATTTTTGGCTTTTACCCATAAGAAATAGAGGATTCAAATTAGAAAGTCACAAAATCATTTTAGAACACTTGGTTTCAGTGTGGATGATGGATAGGATCAGAAGACCAGTTCGGAGGAAGTGATTACATTATCTAGATGAGAGATAATGATGGCATGATATAGGGTAACTGCACAGGGATATGAAGTAGAAAATTGGTTACTGAAGAACAGAATGTTTGAAAGGAAGTTTTCTAAAAGTTTCCAACTGTTGTATTACACAATCTTAAGAGTGTAATTTTCAGTATTCGATGGAGTAGGTACTATTTATAAAACTTCATTCCTTTTTGTTCATTTAACCCCTACCATTTTGCTTAAATTTTTATGGCATAAACATCTATTTCTTCAATTATACTGAAAGCACAAACTCTAAATCACAGTAACAAATTAAAAGTGTAAATATTTAACGAAAGTGAATTCTTTTTAGAGCTATGTCTGTTAAGTATTAAGGTTATTTCTAAGTGGTATGCAAGGGAATTTCATTTACTCATGTTTTAGAACAGAAGAAGGCAGAATGTTAAAATGGCTAAGTGCTTAGAAATGATACAGTGTGGGTTCATAGTTTGGATTACAGTTTCCTTAGACAAATTGCTAATCTCATAGAGCTTCAGCTCCTTCATAGAGCTAATAAAAGGTAGCTGTCTTAGGGAATTATTTTAAAGATTAAATAAATTAACACATGGAAAATAACTAAGGATACCTAACATAAGGATCCAGTAAATATTACATGTGACTATAATATAAAGCAGTTTCTTAAAGACAGATAAGTACAAAACCCACAATGCAAACAAGGAATTTTATTTAAGTAATTAGACATTTAAAAATTAAATTACAATATGGTATTAGTCACAGATTTGTAAATTATACTAAGGAGTTTAATATCTGAATTTAGAAAATGAAATTCCATAATCACTGAAGTGCTTACTTCTTCAAGGAATCTTCTCAGCTGTAAAGACTTGAGAAGCTTGTCTTCTGGCCTAGAAAAGAAATTAAAAAAAAAAATTGTTCACTGTAAGCAAGAAATCATTTAATTAGAACGTATTATTATTCTAATAAAAAAATTTGCATTTTTTCAAAATAATGAAAAATTTTTAAGGTGAACAAGGATCTTGGTATTTTATAATTAAAATTAGCCCTCTAATTTTATCTAGTCAAACTGATAGGGTAAAGATGATAAATGCAATTTTTGTATTTATATCATTGCAAAGAGACCGTTAGTGTACTATAATTAAACTGAAGAACGTCTCAATAATTCTTGCCTGTATTTATACCCCAAGTTTTGAAGCTAAAAGGATTATTGTAAGTATTCCATTACAAATAATTTTAGTCCATTCCCTCACAATCCTGTATTCTCCATAATGTTCCTCTCTAGTCCTCTACCTCTTCTCTCTATGGGGAAACAAATCAATGCGAAGTAATATACTAGAGACATTTTTTCTGTGTAAGATACTGAGAACTGTGCATTTTATATACTGGACATACTACCATATAGCTTCAGTTTACACCAAATAGAGGGTTTTCAAACTATAAATTTTTCTTTTTTTTTTTAAAAAGATTTATTTATTTTTGCATACAGAAGTGGGATACAGAGGTACCGGGATGGTAAGAGGATTCACCAGAGACAGTGTGGGAAGCAGAACAGGCAGACTGACGAAGTACATTGTTGACGGGAGCAGCAAGTGAGACAGGAGAGGTCTGCCATGCCATGTGGGTCACCTTCCTGGCTGGGAATTGAACTTGTGCTGAAGCAGCTGCGGCTAGCTTCACGTGCTGCACTTTAACCCTCTGGGCGATCAGGGAGGGCCCAAACTATAAATTTTTCTATTCACTCAAACTTAACTTACAAGAATACAAATATATTATACTGAAATTAAACTTTAGAATTCTTTTTACCCAATAATCCCACCTGAATAAAACAGGCCTTGGGAATCACAAGACTCACAGTAATTCTAAGGCCAATACAAGTTAGCTTTCCTTTGATTCCATTAGGTCTTCTTATGCTATTATTTTTCACCATTCACCTTACATTAAAATTTAAAGTGACATTCCATTGTAACATAATGTAACTTTTAGGTGTACACCATTAAAAATTAACCTGTGTATGTACTACATTAAAATCACCCCTAAAAATTTCAAATTCTTAAATTCAACCTGTTTTGCATTTCATGTAAAGAAATATTTAGATACTTACAACTTTTTCCTCTGCAGAAAGAACACCCTCGACTGCCACTATCTGGTATTGCTTATGTTTTAAATTTCCTACAAATTTTCTAAGTTGCCTGATATTGCTGGCCTCAATGTCTTGCTTTAATAATTTTTCCATTTCTCGAGAAGGACATCCAGGATCAAATATTAGTAAACATAATGTTCGGTTTTTTCTCTCTTCGATTCCAACAACGGTGCGACTATGACCTATCAGAAAGTAACAGGTAAATATATATGTATGTTGTATCTATGCATACAGATGTTTCTCTATATGTATTTCTCTTTTTTGGTATAGTGTGTATGTGTGTACATCTGTTCAGGATATAGTCAGTTCCTCTGACACATTATCTAAACTCTTTCATACCTAATACACAAGTAAAGCAAGCAGTTCTACTTATAACCCAATCTAAAGGATTTATTACAAGAAATTCTACTTTAAAAAATTATATATTATATATATTTTACTTTTACTTTCCAAATTCCTTGATCTTTCTTACTCAAGTTGTTCAAATGATTCTAAAAGGTAAACAAAATAAACATATATACTAGAATTTCAAAGGAGAGTGCTTAACTTTTATAGCTCATGTTCTTGTGCTTCCAAATCGTGAAATTCCTAACATTTATTTCTCTTTATTTCTCTTAATCCAAATCATCAATTCAACAAAATTTACAAAGTGACCCCAGTTACTATTACAGGCAGTTAGCTTATATAGAAAACAAGTAAAACATTCTGGCTTCATGACACTTATATTCTAATTGTAGGAAATAGTTTATAAATGATAAGTATATACTATGTTAAAGAAAAATAAAATAAGGCAGAGAGAGTGGAAATAAACTGGTCAAGAAAAGCCTCACTAATGTGACATAGGTAAAGATCTGAAGAAGATAAGAGGAGAATAATAAACGTAGCGTGAACTAGGTGGTACTGTCAATGCCAAGGATATTATCCTCATTACCCAGAACTCCACAGATCTTACAATCAGACAGACTAATGTCACAATACTTCCTTCCTCCCCATTTTCAGAATTGTGATCACTCCTAAAGCAAAAGCCAACCAGTTTTCATATGTTAATATGACTTACACCAACCTTGATGTTGAAGATAGATCGGAGGTTTTGATGTACACACTACTTTTGGACTCCCTTCCCTCTCTGAAGAATAATAGTTTAAAATCCATTCAAATAGGCGAGGGTGTGTACCCAAAGGACCAGTTGACTTGTGAAAATCAACAATATGACATCTATAAAAACATGGAGAAAACGGATTAGAGAATATATCCTTACCTTCTTGCTAGTAATACTCATCACAGTTTTAAAAGGTTAATTTTCAAGGTTAATTCAAAATAAATGGTTTCAACTCAGAATAATACAGTCACCCAAACTATCACTTAAGTAATAATGACTAAGCACCCTTTCTTAGGAAACTAAAGAAGGAAGTGCTTACATAAAGACAGTAGTCTTAAACAGAAGAGCAAAACATGTAATCCTGTAAATATCCAGGCTCTAATTCAAGATAACAGTGCAGAAATGTTGGATGAGCTAGTACTGAGAGGGTATATAAAAAGCATATAATCCAGACTTGAACAAAAAAAGACAAGGGGATTCAAGAAGGAGGAGGCAAGGAATAGGAGTGCTTCATATTACATATGTGGAATGTTTGGAGAGCCCTGAGACCATAATATAGTCAAATAGTAAAAGGGAAAGGAAAGGCAATTATTAACTCAGGGAAATATTAAAAGGCTTTTAAGGAAAGGGAATTGAGGGAGCAATGAATAATATTTATATATAAAGATAAACTAATAAAAACTGAGGTTTAAATATATGAGGACATGTGAATAGGTGAGAGATGAAAAAGGAATGTAATAGCCCATGTCTAAGACTGATAAATTAAGGGAGAAAAAAAATGAAAGCACATTATTTAAAAGCAATGAAACTGAAAACTGTCTCTGAGAACAAAAATTGAAAATAGGAACATGAGACAGGAAATGAGTAGCTGGTTTTCATTATAAGTCAGTGCTATTTAATTGTAGTTGTCAACTATCTCTTTGATAAAACATAATTAAACAGAAAACCACCTCCCAGAGAGGAGAGTAATATTTACTTGGGTTTTCAGGTACATACTTTACCCTTAGGGAGGTCAGGAGTGTATATACTTCACAGGCTCCAATCCAGGCCTTTGTTCCCTGTAACCTGTTATTAAGTTGAGAGGCCCCCTGAGGATCAAAACCTTCTTTCCATGCATCTTCAATCATAGCCTGAATTTTTGGAATGCAAGGAACTGACATACCTAAAATTATACAAGGAAACACTAAGTTACATGCCAACTACTAAAATACGAAATAAAATCATTTAGTAGTATGCCATATATAATCAAGAAGCACCTACAACAGAATCTTCTTGCTATCTTTTATTAGATAATTTTCTCTGCTTCCAACCAGAATTTCAGTTCCTAATGTAAATATTACCTAAAATAATTCTTTCTTAAAATTATTAATTATGCCTCCTATATATTAATGCACTCCACATTAAATGTACTTTCTCAGATGACATGTTCACATACCTTTCAAGCAATCATCAAAAACCTCATTTTGCAATAATGATGAAAGCAGCATTTGGAAATTCCTGTAACCACAACCCCAACCTTTGTCACCAAATGATGAATGAAAGTGATCCACTGCTGTAGAAAGCCACACACGCCTCACATCTGTGGCTGCACTTTGATAATACCTATGAAGTGCCTCAATAATTCCTGTAGAAAGATTTAAAAAATTTAGAAAGCTGTTATCTTATTTCTATGGATCTCATGTATTTCTAATATTAATTATCCCCTCAAATATTTAAATCATGTCAATTCCATCTTCTTTACCTTCTTACAAATACAACACTAGTTCAGGTCCTGACTGCTACTACTATGAAAGGTTTCTGACTTGATCATATATTTCTTCACAGAACTGAACTTGTTTTGGATCTTCTACTTCTGCCAGTACATGCTAAATATTCTTCTTGTCTCTGTTTTATTATATATACGACTGGAAATTACTCTCTGAAGCTCAGTTTTAATCAATTGTGACCTAACAGAACACATTAAGCATGATTTTGCCTATGAAGTTTCCATTCAATTTTAATGCTTCCTAAGCACTTTTTACATACTTAATAGCATGTGAAGCACTGTGGATACAAAGGATGAATGTAGCAATGTAACTTGAAATCTCATGGACCTAAACTATAATAAGGGTTGTTGTACAGATAAATAAGGTATATCTGACTCTCTCTCCTATTTTCTCTTGTATTCTGAAATAATATAGATCCTCCAAGGATCAATGCTACTACTTTCAAAATTCTGATTGTAAACCACCCTCCCTCTATAAAAATAAGATTCTTTTTCTTTAAACATTCACATATATGTTTTGTGTCTCCTTGCCATATTCTATCGTAGCAGAATACTATAGTTCATTTGAATATTTTACTTATTCTTCAGACTTTGTGACATTTGTGGGCACAGATGTCTTACTAAGACAGCATTCTTATATGGCATGTGGCACCAAAAAGATAATCACTAAGTGCTTTTCACTTGAATGAGGGGTTTTCTATAGGAAAAATGGGTGTATGTCTTGAAAAATATAGGGTCAAAGTAGAAACAGTCAAATGAACCAATAGCATTAGTTGTGCCTAGTACCATGAAGAATAAAATGTGGTTTATTAACACATTTTATAAGTTTTCCAAGAAACTTAAGAATGTAAGACTTACATTCAAGAAAAAGAACAATTAAAATGTTATATAAAAGAGTATTAAATTTTACATCATGAAGAGGGCACTCTAGGAACTCAAAGAAACTAAAATGTGGGCTTTAGTACCAGACTTTGATGCAGGTATCAAGATCAGAGACAACCCTTTAAGAGGATAAAAACTCCAAGAAAAACAGAAAAGAAAACAATATATTTAGTATTCTGTGATATGCTTATTGTAATACAGTGGTACCTGGGTAACACAGCTATAGAAATTACAATATATAATTGTTTAAATGGAAAATTTCCACATTTTCCGAATTTTGAATAACTATCTCTTTAAATAGTTTCCTAAAATGAACCTATTTTCTTGTAAATTATATTGTTGTTAAAATATGACACCCTTTAAATGAGTTGCTTCAATTAATATTTGATAATTAAAAAAATTTCTGCCACTAATCACTCATTTCTAAATTTCAAGGCAGCTTATAAAATGTATGTAAGCATTTTATAGGGCAGTAGTCTTTAATCTTTTACATATATTTAATTTAACATCTATAAGCTACTATATAGCAACTCTAAAGTGCAGGTAGTAATATTATGGAACAATTTGGTTTAAAATTCTGAAATTAATTTCATCCATTTTTAATTTTCCTGATGTGGCTAGTGGAAATATAAAATTACTATCTGGCTCATATTACATCTGCATTAGACAGCACTAGTCTAGAACACTGCACTCAACAAAGATTAAAGGGTTCATTTTCAAATACAAAGTAAACCAACACTGTATAAAAATAAATTATTTATAAATTGTAGTCCAGAAGTTTCAAATAGTACTTTAAAACTTTTTTGAACTCAGTCTGATCTAAAACTTTAAGACTTGTAGATTATAAAAACTAAGAAAAATTCAAATTTTGATTATTATATTTCAATGGTATAGAATATTAAACCATGATTTTGGTGTTGAAGTACTTACCAGAAGTTTTCGTTTTGCCATCATCAACACCAATAGCTAGTGATTCCATCATATCAGCTTTTCTTCTATGAAATTCAAATGGATGCATTCTTCCCCTGTTTACTTCTATCTCCATATTCCGTAGTTGCTGTTGTTTATATCCTCCAGAATTATCTAAACCATATTGTCTCTATTATACATAAAAAGAAATGATTTCATTTTACCTCCCTTTACAATGAAGATGCACACTTACCCACACTTTTATATGAAAGCACATATGGAAACATTCTGGGTTTTAGACTTTTAGATATCACACTTAAAAGATTTGAAAACTTAAAAGATCTAAAAACTAAGAACTCTACCAAATCAATATATTACAACTGCTATACTCGTTTTACCTGCAGCTTCTGAAAGTCTTCAATTTCTTGCCTTGATTCTTCAGATCTCCTCTTCCTGTCTTCTTCTTGCTGAAGTTGGTGAGCCAACTCAAGATCACTAGAACACTGTACTCTGTCCAAGCCTATTTGACATTTTTAATGTTTAGAATAAAACCATAACTGCAGTTATTAACATATGTTTTAAAAATAGAGCAAACACTTTTATTTTGTTATTTATTTATAACTGTGATGGAAACAGTGTACAAATCTAGTGGAACTTAGACCTACTTTTGTAAAGGTAATGACCTCCATTTAAATCACATTCACTAAGTGTCTAATCTATGGTAATTATCTCATTTGATCATCTTAACAACCACATAAAGAAATTATTATTAGATACCTAGGAAACAAGAATTTAGAGAAATTAAGTAACACCCTTCATTGGTATTCTTTATCAACACAACTAAAGAAGATTAGTCTTTTTAAGATATTACTGGGGGGAAAAAAATGATAAAAATCTACACTTGCTAAGGACAGGTGTTAGACCATAACTTGACTGTTGTCTGGTCTCAAACAAAAAGTACAACTTTGAAACATACTACCCTGTTTCCCCTCTACTTGGTATCCCATAGATGCACTGGTCAGCATCTTCTCTCCTACACCTCCCAATTTGATGGTTTAATTATACATTTCTTTCAACTCTTAACTTCTTCTACATTTCCTTATTTGTTCCTTACTCCCTTTGCTGGAGAGAAGCAATACACAACTAGTTTTTGGTACACTTCTAAGACTACCTACTTTGATTTACTTACACCATATCTTTTCTCCTATCATATGATGTAAACTATCAGAGGGTTACAGAATAATTTATGTGCCCATACAAAGCTTAAATCATAAACACAGCTAACATTACCAGATATTCAGTTTTAAAGAGTTATTTTTCCACAGTAGTTAGAGGATAATCATTCAGAGTAAAAGACTATTCCATCTATGTACCAGTAATTCTCAAGATTAGGCTGAATGGGCAGAGAACATTGTCTATGGAGATCACTGACTCTAGGGTCACTAGTAATAAACACAAAGACCACTGTCATAATAGGAGGTATCTACGCAACTTAAGAAACTAAAATCCAACAAAATACAATTGGTTTCTCTTAGGGTCTACTTTATATGTTATTTCTGTGGAACTATAAAATCCATGTAAGAATTTTCCACTTCTAAGGCACTAAATGATTATTTAATCAATGCTGTTATTAAAAGGGACAGGGCACAGAGGAATACTTTTACAATTATGTTTTTTATATAAAAATGCACTTTAAAATTGCACATTCTTCAAAAAATGTTTTATATGACATAAGACACTTTTGTTCTTCAGTAACAATTTTTGCTAACCAGATGTTAAATTCAATTATTACTTGCTGCTGGGAGGAAAAAGCTTCGATTTACAATTAAAATAGATTTTGAATTGCACAGTATTTCACTATTTTCTAAATAATGGCATTCTGAGGCAAAACCCTTATGCCACTTCTAAGACAACTGTTGATCTCACTATTCATCCTTTGTAACTTTTCTGTCAAACAACTTCTAAAAAAGTTAAAGCTAGATTAGAATTCTTTAAAAGGGCAGCTTTATTTTTATTTTTCTAAATGGTATAGTTTTTTAAAGATTTATTTATTTATGCATACAGAACTAGAGTACAGGCCAGAGGATTCACCAGAAACAGAGTGGGGAGCAGAACAGACAGACGGATGAAGTACACTGCTGAAGGGAGCAGTGGGCAGGTCAGGAGAGGTCTGCCACACCATGTGGGTCACCTCCAGGGCGGGGCAGGGATCAAACTAATGCTGAAGTGGCTTTAGCTTCTTAGTGCTGTGCTTTAAACTGCTGTGCCATCAGGGAGAGCCCAGGACAGATTTATTTTTAATCAATATGCTTTTTTTATTTGTATAACTAATCTAAAAATCAGATGTGTATCATGGTAAATAGAAATTGACAATTTCATTTTAAAATCACAAACATACCTTGTCCAAAGTTCTCTTCTAAATGCAAGTTAACATGTTCCTGGAGAATAGGGTAATTTGTACAGATGAGCCCACACATAGGGCAGTCGTACAGTGGTTGATCACAGTCTGTTACAGAGACATAATTAAATTGGTTTTCTATTAAAAACTTTTAGACTTCCATTTCATGTCAGAGACTGTATACTACTTATTAGCCTTGTTAAATAAGTGAAAGCTCATTGTAGCTGTATGCAAAGTTATTTTTCTACCTTAGGGGCAAGAAGAAAGGGCATAAACACAAATCTCTCTTAACACTTAACAAAGAAAATATTAATCATAAACAGATGCGAAGTAGAAATAAACAAGTTGATAGGAAAATCAAGATGATAAGGAAGGGCCTGTGTGGATAAGGACTTTTCAGGAGTTAAAGTCTCAGCATCTTCCAGCTAAATGAAAAGGTGGAGAACTCAAGCATTCAACATGTAACTGGGAATTGGGACAGCCAACTTATGACTAAGGGATCAAAGTTGCTTTTTGATCCTTCAATTAGCACTGCAGGTAGACAAACAGGTATAGCTCACCCAGAACAGAAGTGGTACCTCCATAAGATCAAGACTTGGTCAATATTGGCAGAAGGACCCAGAAGTGAAGGAACAGAACAAGTCATACATGTAAGGTCGGTTTAGAGGTGAAGACTGAACAACCAAGGTGGAGAAACCATGAAACTGGTTCATTGATAAGGGATTATGAATAAAACTCCTGTAACATGACCAATAACATGTGACTTACAAAATATACTGGGAAGGTTCAATGCCATGAAAATTCACAATCCAAGAAGTAATATGCATGGAGATAGAAATTTACTAATCAAGAGAACTTAAAAAAAATGTGAAAAATCATAAATGAAATAAAGGAGGGAATTCAGGACAGAAAATTATGAAACAGAAATGTCAGAAAGGTAAAAATTGGAAGTAATAAATATAAATGATGTGATCATTAGAAGAAAAAAAATCAATGACAAACCTCAAAAACAGTATTTTGCAAAACTGGGTAAATATTTCCAGAAGTAGCACTAAAAGGTAAAGGTAGTAAATGGCTCCTTAGGTAATGTGGTAGGAGAATGGAGGGTTTTTGCTAGTGCTAGAATTCAGTAACAGAAAGTAAGAGTCAAGGGCAGTAGAGATCAAGCTGTCACTGTCTATAAAAATAAGTCTAGTGAGATAAGCCAGAAAGAGGAAGAAAAATACCGGATGGTTTCACTCTTAGCAGGAGTATGATGGACCAGGCGAGAAAATAACAAGAATAATGAGCAACCATATACCAGAGACATTTTGTGGGGGTGGAGTGGGGAATGGGATCAAAAACAGGGGAGGGGAGGAGGGAAGAGCACGAATTATGGTGATGGCACATGGGTGACTTGGAGATGGGAAACCCACAGGAACTACAATTGAGATGGAAAAAAAATGTACAAAATGATGTAAAAATAAACTGTTATAAAAATAATTTAAAAAATAATAATAAGTCTTCTAGAAACTGAACTTGACTGTATTCCTCCTCAGAAAGGTTGTAAAACTATACTCAATGTAGCAGTAACATTTTCTGAATCAAAATTCTTTTCCATTATTGCATTTTCATATTTTAATGACAGCAAAGGCACAATTTCCTAGACATTAACCAAATATAAAAGCACATCTGTAGTAATGTGATTCACAAATCAACTTCAGGCTACCATATTTTAAACTTAATCTTTTACTTATAATATAAAATGAACACTTTACCTTCTAGTGGATTGTCTAAAAGATTGGCATGCTTTGTTTTGACATGAGCTTCCATGTCTTTACTATAGTTTTCTATTTTTCCACAGAATGGACATTCAGGAGCACTATACGTTGTCCCACACATCAATCCTTTAATTTCAGAATTGTCACACTGTTTGTCCTTACTTTTTAGGATTTTTTTTGATTCGGTTAAGTTTCCTGAGTAAACATCTTTATGTTTTAAAGTAACATCCTTAGGCAGGCTTGGAGCTGAAATTTTTGGATTTGATGCACAAGCTGAATGAACACTTGAATTAACTTCCATTCTGCACTGGAGGGGGGTATCCTTTTTGTTGTCTGAAGTTTCATATTGGATTGTATTGATCCTGTGAAAGTTTCTCTCTAGTTCATTTTGTTCAGAATGCGCAGTTTCAATATGAAAATACATTTCTTCGTAATTCACACCTGACACCTTGCAAAATGGGCATATAACTTCATTTTCCATGTGCACAATTAGGAGGTGAGATTTCATGTCTGGCTCTGAGGTTAATGTTTCACCACAAATATCACAAGAAAACATGGTACATGCGGTAGCTAGAAAAGAACAAAATGTTATTTTAATTTGAAAAGTTGAGTTGAAGAAAAATGTACTTTATAAAATAATTTGGGACAATTATTATTTAACAACGAACTTAGATGAAGAGACTTTCAATTTATGTGTTCCTCAAATATGTATTCCTACAAACTTATTTCTAAATCTCAAACAAAAGCTCACTAATGTATTTCAATTCATGGTTTCAATAAAACAAAGGCAATGATAAGGAAAACTGAAATAATTTTTAAAATATTTCAAAAAGTGCTTTTGATTTAGGTGGAGAAAAATAATCTTCATAAAACTATCCTGGTAAAATAAGTCTAACAGAGAACAGAAAAGAACCCTTATCAACTGATGTAAGTAAATATGAGGAGAGTGTAAAAAAACACATCTTTATTTTTAGCAGTTAAAAGAGATTTACCTGTACTGAAATATTTTTGGTATCATTATCTTCCTACACAGGGGAAACCACAGCTCAGGTATCTGTAACCACAAAACAATAAAAGCCAAAATGCTAACTAACCTAATCAGGCTCCAGAGTCACAGTACTCTAAAACTATAGAATAAAAAGCACTTAAACAGAAATCTTGGCTGATTCCAGAGTCAAGAGAATTGGGTTATACTCTTAGTTTTTATAAATTTAGAAAAAAAAACCTTATCTTTTTTGAGGTTAGGTCTGTAAAATGTGTTGAACTAAGTCAGCACTCAATTTTCTATTTATGGGCTTAAAAAAAAAAAAGACTGGCTACTTATAAAAATGTGATTTCGCGGAAATATACAAAAATGTTAAAGGCAATCCCCGCCACAACCTTTCTACAGAACATCATCCCAAGTAAGGACTATTTAAAAACAAAACGGCACACACACACAAAATGATGACTTCCCATCATTTCAATAAATTTAGCTTTATAAGACCTCCGTAAACAATACTCTTCTTTGTAATTTCTCTTCGGACAAGTGAAAAGAGTCACTGATTTTATAAGGCAATTTTCGCAAATCCCCAGTGGAAAGAACGTCATATCCAGGCAGTTTCTTTCGCCCTCGCTGGGACAGAGCTAGACAAAGACGGGCACACTTGGGTTCCCAAACACTTCGAGAAGAACTAGAGGGTAAGTGATGTAAGTAAGGAAGCCCAGGACACGGGGGGCGGGGTGTTGCGGGTATACAGTAAGGCTGGCAGGAAGAGCCGCAAGGCCGCGGGGCGGAGGCGTCTCAGTCCTGGCCCACATACCCGAGCCAGGCCGCCAAACCAGGCATTCACTAGGTTAAAGTTTCGATCTAGGGAATGAGAGCTGCCATCGTCAGTTCTTACCAGACCGGAGATCCGGCCGCCGCACAGTACTAGCCTGCCTGCTTCTTTGGGATCCCAGGCGGCCAACAGCTACTTCGCACACAAACGGGGTGCGTGCTCGGCTCCAAATGCCTTTACCAGGCTAAGAGGCTAAGGCTGGAAGGTCGCTATACACAAAGATGGGCAACTGAGAAAACACCTGCCAGCCTAGAAAACTTCCGCGTCCAGTATTATCTAAAAAGGTTCCTTCCGTCCTCCGGAAGGGTAGAACCCCCAGCATGCATCACTCCACGCCGAGCTGGGTGCATTCTGGGAGTCGTAGTCATTCAGGCATCCTCCGGTCAGGATTCTGACTCTCCTGATGTTGTTATTAGGTGAGAAACTATGCTGTGAGATCTAGCTGAATGAGTTTCCAAGAGCGGATCCCTGGGCATTGCTGGAGTCACAATATCCATATTCAAGGCTCGGATTGAGTAGTAGTCTATTCTATTACTAGCAAAGCGTTTATACTACTAAATGTCAAACTCCAGAACCAAGCTCTACAAGTAATGACTAAGATGATTTTTTTGCTTCACAATTACAAGATAACAGTCTTATTTTCATTGGAAAAATACTTAATGAGACGCTAATAGAAAAGCATTATGTTAGAATGCAGTTGCAGCAGTAATCAAAACACAAAAGTCCAAGTAATTGAAGCTTATATTCTAGTAAGGCAGAAAGAAAATAAACAAGTATTGATCATGTCAAGCACCGTGATGGAAATAAAATGGGATTATTTATAGAGGGGACTAATGTAGTTAGGAATATCTGAGTACATGAGTGCGTTTATGAGCAAATCTTGACCAACAGGAGAATGAGCATTCCAGGCAGAGAAAATAATAACAAAGGTTCTAAAGCTAGGAAAAGAAAAGGAACATTTTGTGATCTGACTATATGTCCTGGAGGAAGGGATGGTTGCAATATGAGATCATTGTTGTAGACAAAGGCCAGATCATGAAGAACCTTGTTGAATTTGTACTGTGTTAACAGGACTTTGTGAATGAAGAGTGACATGATTTGATATTATACAGTATACTTAAAAAAATCATTCTGGAGGGTGAGTGGTTAAACATAGCAGCTTGAACATGTATATTTATATTTCATGCTTGCAAAATATACTAAAATGACAGCAAAAGAAAAAAGTCACTAAAGGGATTCTAACAAATTTTGAAAGCTGGAAGAATTATGGATGAGTAGGAACGAACTTAACTAAGAAACAACTCAGAAATCCTGAATAAGTAGCAGTTAACTCTTCCTCATATTGCCAAATGACTCATCTTTCCCATCCAGACAGAAAGTAACAAGTTTGATTTATGAAGAGCATGAACCAGAGAAGCTCTGAAGTTAGACAATCACAGTTTATGGTGGGAGTCAAGGTGCTGGACTGAAAATGGGAAATAGGGAAAACTAAATACTGATCAGCCTCCTAGTCATATTCTCCCATCACATTCTGATAACTGATTTATGCCCGATTGGAAAGTTCTTCAGGAAAAAGCACTGTTGCAAGAGAAAAAGACCTAGCAATAAGGGCTTTAAAAAAATCCCTGTTCAAAAGAACTCTCATTTGGTGTCGCTTAGGATGCAAACTGTTGAAGCTTCTACAGAAAACGGTATGGAGATTCCTTTCAAAACTTAAAAAGAAATGCAATAATACCACTCTTAGGTATTTATTTGAAGAATATGAAAATACTAATTTGAAAGGATACATGCACCTCTACATTCATAGTAGCACTATTCATGATAGCAAAGACCTAAATGATCAACACATGACTGCATAAGAAGTTGTAGTATAGAAACACAATGGAATACTACTAAGCTATTAAAACAGATGAAATCTTGCCCGTTTTGACAATACAGATGGAACTCAAGGTGGTTATGAGGAGTTAGATCTTGACAGATAGGGAAAGGGACCTGGGAAAAGTATAACAGGAAGGAAATGACAGAATATACATAAGGAGAGGATACACTTGAAACAATATCAAAAGGATAGTAGGACTAAAGTCCCAAACCACCAATCAAGAAACTACATGATTGATATCACTCCTAGGCCCAAATATGAGCACTATTATTAAAAACCCTGAAGTGATTTTCACCTAACAGCAACACTTTTTTTGGATCCCTCCTTTGGGAAGATCTTCTGCCTCTTATATGCTCTTGAATAAACCTTCTAGGCCTGTTTACTGGTGACAGGAGATGACCTGTTTCTTTAATAAAGCTCTCTGTCTTTGCTTACCAGTTAGGTAGTTCAAAGATTCATTCTTCATTCCACTGGCCCTGTTTCTGGTTCATTGCATGTCATTTACACTATGTGAAATAAGTCAGAAAAAGAAAGGCACTTACCAGATATTTTCAATTATCTGTAGAATATTAATAACCAAAGAAAACAAAGTGGCAAAACACTACAAAAAGTAACTCTGCGACTCTGAAAGGAGTAGAGGATGTCAGGAAAAGCTGGAGGTGGTCCGTTTGATAGTGTGATGGCACTAGAACTTTGATGTTGAGTAAGTTAAGCTTATATACATATGAAGCTGTACCTCTGGATAGTTTGTTTATGAATGGTAAATCAAAAAATGATTTAAAGAAAGTCCCCCAAATGAAACCAAAATCCCATTTTATCAGTTAGCGTATCACAGATGCTAACAATATATCTGCATATAAGCCCCAACTAGCACACATGGCATGCAATAGCTTTCTATAATGTCTCAGTTTTAAATATAACTGGCTATCCGAAGACACCCTACAGTTGAGTACAGTCTGTGGTAGGAAAAATGAAAACTGAAATGATCAAAAAGAAAAAAACGTGAACTTTGAAAAACCAAAGAAAATGAATAAGAAAAGTCACAAGGGAATTAAACCTTCAGAGATACACAAAAAGATATATAAGGCGCTCCCTGGCGGTACAGCACATAAGGACACAGCAAGCTAGCTGCAACTGCTTTAGGATGAGTTCATGCAGGCCAGGAGGTGACCCACATGGCACAGCAGACCACTCCTGTCTCTACCACTGCTCCCCTCAGCAGTGTACTTCATAGATCTGCCTGTTCTGCTCCCCCCTCTGTCTCTGGTGAATCCTCTTACCACCCCTGCACCTTTGGCCTGTACCCCAGTTCTGTATGGATAAATAAATAAATCTTTTAAGAATAGATAGTTAATCTCTGAATCAAAAACAGGACATGACACTTGGCCTTGAAATACAGTAACAGAATTTTAAAAAAATCGGTAGAAAGTGGGAAGATAGGCCCTCCCAGGTGGGGTACTGGGTTAAACCGCAGCACTGCAAGCTAGCCTCTGCTGGCTGCTTCACTGAGAGTTCATCCTTGACGCAGCAGACCTCTCCTGGCCTGCTCGCTGCTCCCCTTAGCAGTGTACTTTGTCGATCTGCCTGTTCTGCTCCCAGCTCTGTCTCTGGTGAATCCTCTCACCTCCCCTACACTTCTGGCCTGTACCCCAGTTCTGTATGAATAAATAAATCTTTTTTTTTTTTTTAAAGTGGGAAGATCAAGAAATTTCTCAGAAGAGAACATAAAGACCAAGAGATGGGGCATATATTTTGTGTATTATATACTTACCACTACTGTTAGAAAACACTTGTTTTCAAGACTGCTGAATTCCAAGGTAGATCACAAAACTATTACCTATATTGTATTAATTTCGCATATGTATTTTTGTGGAAGTATTTACTTAAACCATCAATATATTTTTGACTATGCTGTGTAAACAAATCTAGCTTTTTAATGCTATAGATTACAAACTTATAAATGGTAACAGAAAAGTTTGAAACAAATGAACAGCGCATACAAGTAGACATAAAGGAGGTTAATGAAGGCAAAAGCCTCTGTACAGCTCTACGAGGCTGGGATTTTTATCCGTTGTGTACTTTTGTAGTTCTAATATTTTAAAAAGTATCTGATATAATTCCCTCACTCAATACTGCTTTGTAGATTGCAGGAAGGAAGAACGGGAAGGGGGGAGGGAAGGACGGATGAATGACTAAGAGTGCATGAATGAATGGACACAGACGCTCTGGCGCGGAGAACCCACTCTCTCCAGCACCCGCGGTTCCCCGGGGCGGGAGCCAGAGCCCCTCTCGGTGGGTGGGGCTGGGGCGCGCTTCTCCCCGCCCCCAGGGGAGGTGAGCTGCAGCCGCCGCCGCCTCCGCCGCTGCCGTACCCGCTTGCAAGGACTTCTGGGAGCCGAGACTCGGGGTCTCGGGGAAGGGGCGCAGGTGGCCGCCATCTTGAGTTGCGAACCGGGTGGCTACGCTCCACTCCAGGGGCGGGGTGACGACCCCACTGCGATCATCCTCTGCCGACGTCGCAGCAGGGACTGAGAATTCTGGTGCCAGACTGTGCCACATTAATGGGTAAGTGGGAGTGACACAGGCCAGGTTGGGGGAGCTTGGGCTTTGGTCCCTTTGCGAGCTGCTAGTTCAGGGGGCGCTGTTTTTATTTACCCCTTTCCTTGTGAAGGTGGCTCGGCTCCAGGCTGTGTCTGGGTTTTCCTCAGGTGCCCTGAGAGGGCGAGCGGTGGCGGAGGCGTGGCAAGCGGACCTGTCCCTGGGGGGCGCGGAGGCGGGGGAGTCCTGAGCCTCTGTGGCTGCAGAGCGGGTCTTCGGAAGTGGCGTTCGGGAGCCGATCTCGTCCTGGCCGCTCTGCTTCACGCCTAGTTGCTCGTTCTTCGCCCATGGTGGCCATTCGCTCCTGGGACTCAGTCAGCCTAGGTTCCGCGGTTTATTAGAAATTCAGTGTCCAGTGTCGGGTGTTGGGGGCCTAATGAGCCGCGCACTCACCTCGGCCTGCTGTTTTCCTCCTCCTGGATACTGGAACCTTGAATAAGCTCTGCCTTGATGCCCGCCAGCGTGGGTTAAACGCTGCTCTCTAATACAAATAGTCTGCCAGCCCCCCTTAAAGATCAAAGGAGGATTTGTAGATAACACGTAAGGCTGGAAAGAATTGGCAAGCTGCGAAACGCTAAGTGACACCAGGAATATGACATTGACATTTATTCTTGGGCTTTTTGAATACACTGAAAAAAACAGATTTGATGCCTCTTAATTATAGCACTCAGAGATTCATATTTTTAACAACAGTAATTGTACCTTATTGGTAAACAGGATGCAACTCTGCCCTGGTTTTTTTTTAATACTACTGGTTTGGTTAGGGGCTCTGGTCGGCACACTTCTCCTTTGTGCAGAATCTTGTAATTTCACTTATAGGCACCCAGAGAAATGGAGACTTTACTGGCACAAGAAATTCCTTAGTAGATCTTAGAAAAAGTTCATATTCCAGTTTTTTGCTCAGCCTCAACAGTTTTCAACGCTTTTTAAAAATAAGCCATGACAAGAAAAATTCTTTTTTGTAACTTTAAAGTGTTTGAATAATATTTCTTACACTTAAAATAATTTCTATGAGGGAACAGTCTCATGTTATCTTGCAGAGAATGAAGCAATCCCATTGGGTGGGACACCTTTAGAAATCATTTTCCTTGCAATTAACGTTCCCTTAAAACTACTACAGTGAAGTTGCAGTTGTTAAGTAAAGAGCAAGAAGTGGCACTTAAGAAGAAAGAACAAATGATATATGGGTTGTTGGATATATTGTTCAATATACATATTGAATTTTGTTAAAATGTTTATATTGAGGCCCTCCCAGGTGGCGCAGCGGGTTAAAGCACTGCACTACGAAGCTTAAGCCTCTTCCTCATGAGTTTGATTCCCGCCTGCCCCGGAGGAGTCCACATGGCGTGGCAGACCTCTCCTGACCCGCCCGCTGCTCCCCTCAGCAATGTACTTCGTCAATCTGCCTGTTCTGCTCCCCACTCTGTCTCTGGTGAATCCTCTCACCCTCCGCATCTCTGGCCTGTACCCCAGTTCTATATGAATAAATAAATCTTTAAAAAACAACAACAACAACAACAACAAAATGTTTATATTGAAAGGTTTTAATGAAAATCACCTAGAATAGTGTTTTTTAGAAGCAGCATCTAGTGTATATGTTGGGGCTGGGAGCACAAGTTAACTCAGTCACATGTTGGAAGAAAATATTTTTTTTCCTTTAAACTTGCTCTTTTTTAAAATTTCTATTTGAGATTTTTATGGGATTATTTAATAGGCTACTCCTAAATGTTTATTATGATACTCTTACATTTATGTAAATAAATGAATATGCAACTTTATTTTGTATATATAGGATATGTTATCAAAAAAGTTTGAAAATGCCTAATTGTTGGTGATTAATATTTTTAGGAGGTTTATTGTTGTGAACATTGCATTTTGTTAAAAAGAGTTTACACTTGCTGATCATAATTCAGCAATTAATGTTGAAGCCCATTGTGCTCTGTAACCAACTTTGAATATATTTTTTCTTCTAAGTCAAAGCTGTTATTAGTGAGGCAGTATTTTCATATAAGAAATAGTTAAGGGGTGTCTATTATTATTAATGAAACTAGATTAAGCTGTTTTGTAATGTTACATATTTGTAGAGTGCACACATTGCTGACATCACTTTATTAAATATTTTAAAAGAGGGATTTTGGTCAATTATAAAAAGATTTTAATTGCTAGATTATACACATTAAATTCAAAGGCATAAAGTATATCTTAAATCATTTTGAAGTCCTCAACCTATTCCATTCTACCTTTTTTCCCACCATTAATGAAATTTCTCTCATTGTCTTTACCAGTGACCTACTTATCAAATCTGGGTGCCCAATATGGTACCTGTCTTACTTCAAATACTTAATATTTTCTGGATATATTGAGTGGCCAGTTTCAGTGCTCCTACACCTTAAATACTTCTTTATCTTTTGAATTCCCTTGTCATTCAAAACACTCATTTTCTCATTCTCTTATATCTCTGACCTATTTCTTTTAGGTTTGCTTTTGATAGTTTTCTTTGCTCTTTTTTTCCCCAATAAAATGAGAGCATCCTCAAATTTTTCCTTTTGGTAATCTTTTTTTATAGCTTTGTGTGATATTGGATGATCAATCAGTTCTTGACTTCTGACCCTGATTTTTAATCATCTATAGATCAAAACCTCACCTTGTACTCTAAGTACTATAAATTTAACATGTGTAGAATGAAAGTCAGTTCACTTACTACAATATGTATAATAAAAAAATGAACAAGCTATTAAACAACAACACATTCTTAGATTATGAGAACAAAATGGTGGTCATTAGAGGGGAAGATGCTTGGGAATGGGCAGATTAAGAAAAAAGATGTCAGTTGCATGGAGATGAGCAGAAACTATACTTTTGGTGGGAATGATGTGAAATGTATGTAATATTATAAACCAATGTTACTTCAGTAAAGCTTTCTAGAAAGTAATTTTTTAAAAAGATTTATTTATTTATATATACAGAACTGGGGTACAGGCCAGAGGTGCAGGGCGGTGAGAGGGTTCACCAGAGACACAGTGGGGAGCAGAACAGGCAGATCAACGAAGTACACTGCTGGTCACCTCCGGGGCAGTCGGGAATCAAACTCATGCGGAAGTGGCTTTAGCTTCTTAGTGCTGTGTTTTAGCCCCCTTCGCCACCAGGGAGGGCCCGAAAGTAATTAATTTTAAAAGCAAAATGACATACATCAGAAATATTTGTATAAAATAGATATTGCAAATATACTTTTATATAATGTTATTTTAAAATACATTTGTTGCAGTGCTAATTAAAATAAAAAATACACGTATCTTTGTATTTTAAAAGAACTAATTATACTATAGAACTAAAAGTTAGTATTGTTGTCATGACTCAAGTCATTGATCTACATGGCCTTAGTTTTTTTTTTTTTTTTTAAGATTTATTTATTTATGAATACGAGAACTAGGGTACGGCCAGAGGTGTTGGGAGTGAGAGGATTCACCGGACACACTAGAGAGAAGAACAGGCAGATGTACTGAAATACACTGCTGTAGGGAGCAGCAGGTGAGACAGGAGAGGTCTGCGGCGCTGGGTGGGTCAGTTGCCTGGCTGGGGATTGAACTCATGCTGTAGTGGCTGCATGTAATTTCATAGTGCTGCACTTTAACACTTTTAAGGACAGGGAGGCTCTGTCCTTAGATTTTAAAACAGTGCCATAAGTAAATGAAAGAAGCCAGGCCTCAATAAATATTTGATGTGTGCTCATTAAAATCAAATGCCACAGTCCATTGAAAATAAGATGCTCCGACACCTTGATCTTGCTGTAATTTAGAAGTTCCTTCCCCACCATACACAATTTCATTATTATTTCTTGACTGACAGCGTTTTTTTAAGATACATCCCATTCACAAAGGTTAAAATACCAGATTTAGGAAGGTACGTTTTAGAGTCGGTTTAGAATTAAATCTATTAATTGTTTAACAGTTATTCCTAAAGTACCTGGTCATTTGGTCCAATTTTGATATGGAAATGAGAGTATGTTTTTCTTCTATGTTATTTTAGCATGTTATTTGTTACTCTGTTTAACTAGATAGACTGAATTCTGTTGCCCTGAGTAAACATATAGTGTTATTCTGAGAATTATCAACATCTGTTTTCTTCCTTCCTTAAGATGCCATGGCTAGTCCAGGAAAAGAAAACTATAGAATGAAAAGTTACAAGAATAAAGCTCTAAATCCCCAAGAGATGCGTAGGCGAAGAGAAGAAGAAGGAATACAGCTTAGAAAACAAAAAAGGGAAGAACAGGTAGGTGTTTTTAAGTATTTATTTCTGTTTATCCCAAAAACATCATACACAGATTTTAGAAATATTTTTATTTTGCTAACTTTCAGACAATTTTAATTGAAAAGGTATTTTAAGGTATTGACTACAGATACATTTGTTCTTTATATTAACAAATTCATGACTCAGAATCCTGTGCTATTTTTATTTTTAGTCACTGACAGAAGTGGCTTTTCCATTTCATTGATAAGCCTTTTGTGTTAATCTTATTTCTATAGCAGTGCTCGAATATTTTTACTTTTCAACCTACTTATATCACTTCTATTTATCATTATAAAATTTCCCCCCTAAAACATTGTTTTTATTCATTTTTTGCTTTGTGGTTTTCTTAGCTCTAACACTTAAGTTTATTAACTATAGAATTCTGATGCTTTTTCTTTGATAGTATCATCAACCAAGTCTTTCAGCATTCTGTTTGATTTATGTATAAGGATTAGAAAAACCACTTAAAAGAGTACATGTCAACATTTTTCACTCCAAGATATTCAGTACCTTTGGAGCACATGTTTCATCTACTATTGCATACCTGAAACCTTAGTTGGTATCAAACCCTGTATGCACAGTGCATATCTCTATGTTGGGCTTGGTTTGTTGAGTTCCACGTGCATTGCGTGATTTACAGATTGAAGGCTAATGACAGCCCTGTGTTCAGCCATGTCTCTGCATGTGCTCCCTTTGTGTCTCTGTCACACTTGGTAATCCTAGTAATATTTTAAACTTCTTCATTATTATTTTATCTTCTGTGGTGACTTGTGAGCAGCGACCTTGGATATTACATGATGTCAGGGGACTATAAATCTTACCCCTGTAAGATAACAAAGTTAACTGATGAATGTTGTATGTGTGTGAACATCTTTCTGTCTCTTTCCCTCTCTTTCAAGTAAGTTTATTAGAAAGAGATAGGAAAGGAAGAGACACTTGTATAGGCACAAGCGGGCAGGAAGAGCTGCCTGGGCTTCCCTATTTTGAGAACCAGAGTTATTGTAATTAGACCAATGATTAACCCTATAGTGACCTCAAAGTGTGAAAATGGGAGCAAAAATCGCACATCTCTCACTTTTAATTAGAAACTAGAAATGATAAACTACTGTGAGGGAGGCCTATCAAAAACTGAAGTAGGCTGAAAGACGAAAGATAGCTCGGCCTCTAGTGCCAAACACTTGGCTATGTTTTTTTTTTGTTTTTTTTTTAAGATTTATTTATTTATGCATACAGAGCTGGGGTACAGGCCAGAGGCTCGGGGTGGTGAGAGGCTTCACCAGAGACAGAGTGGGGAGCAGAACAGGCAGATCGACGAAGTACACTGCTGAGGGGAGCAGCGGGCGGGTCAGGAGAGGTCTGCCACGCCATGTGGTCACCTCTGGGGCAGGCGGGAATCGAACTCATGCGGAAGTGGCTTTAGCTTCTCAGTGCAGTGCTTTAACCCGCTGCGCCACTAGGGAGGGCCATGGCTATGTTTTTTAATGCAAAGGAAAATCTACTAAAAGATGTTAACTATTTCAATGAACATACAAATGAGAAGAAAGTGAAACAACCCTCTGATAAGGAGAAAGTTTTAGCTGTTTGGCTAGAACACCAAATTGGCCACAGCATCCCCTAAACCAAAGCCTGATCCAGAGCAAAGCTGTAACTTTTCAATTCTGTGAACACTGAGAAAAGTGAGGAGATTGCAGAAGAAAAGTTTGAAGCTAACACAACAGTTCATTAAGCTTAAAGAAGCCATCTCAGAAATATAAGGCAAATATATCCGCAAATACTGATGTAGAAGCTACAGCAGGTTATACAGAAGACCTAGCCGTTGATTGATCAAAGTGGCTGCACTAAATATTTTCAGTGTAGATGAAACAGTCTTCTGTTGAAAGATGTCATTTAGTACTTTCATAGTTAGAAAGGGGAAATCATTGCCTGTCTTCAAAACTTCAAAGGACAGGCTGACTTTCTGGTTAAGAGCTAATGCAGTTGGTGACTTTAAGTTGAAGTCAGTACTTTTAACATCTGAAAATTCTAGGGCTCTTAAGAATTTTGCTCATTCTGTTTTGTCTGTAGGCTATAAATTGAACAACATCTGAGTGGCAGCACATGTGGTTACAGCATAGTTTACTGTTAGCCCACTGTTAAAAACTATGGATCAGAGAAAAAGGGCTTCTTTGAGTATATTACTGGTTTATTGACAGTGTATCTAGTCACCCAAGAACTCTGATTGAGATGTACAGAGAAACTAATACTACTTTCTTACCTGCTATTGCAACATCTGTTTCTGCAACCCATGAATCAAGTAGTCATTTTGACTTTCAAGTCCTAATATTTAAGAAATGCATTTGGTAAGGATATAGGTGTCATAGTTGGTTCCTCTCATAGATCTGGCAAAGTAAATTGAAGCATCTGGAAGGGATTGCCATTCCAGATGCCAATAAGTAATGAGTAATTCATGGGAGGATGTCAAAATATTAGCCACGTGTTTTGGAAGAAACAGAGGAGCAAGGATATTTTGGGACAACACTTTTGAAGAAGCTGATTTCAACTTCATGGATAACTTTTAGGGGTTTAAGATTACAGTGAAGGAGGTAACTACAAAAATGGTGGGAATAAGAGAATTGGAGGTTGAATCTAAAAATAATAACTGCTGCAATTACCACAGGTAGCATATGACCTCTTAACATTCTCTGTATATGAATGCTACCTGTAACAATTTCTCCTCTTCCCTTTCTGGCTCAATTTATTCAGTTTTTCCCTCTTTGTAACCTAGCTAGATGTTTATCTATTTTGATTATATTCTCAAAGAATCAGCACTTAAGTTTCATTGATCTAGTGTATAGTCATTTGTTCTTGTATCAGTTGTTTCTACTCCGATTTCCTTCCTCCACTGTTTTTTTCCTCTTTCAAATTGCATTAAGTATAGATTGAGCTAAGTGTGTGAAAGGGCTAACAATGAAAAAGTAAAGAAAGACCTGTTTTATATCTATGATGGTAATTCCTCTGCACCATATGTAATATTTAGCACAGTCGCTACTATGTATTATAGTAGTACTCCAAAAAAAGAACCTTTTGAATATTTGGAAAGAGAATTGGGTATAATGTGAAGATTAGTACGTAGGTCTCAAAAAGATAGGACTGGTTTATTTTTTCCCCTCAATTTTGATTTAGGAAATATAGCTTTAAATCTCCCTTAGCGACCTTTCTGTGTTTCTTTCCTCCTCTCTTATTTTCTAATTTTATTATCCACTCTTATTTCCGTCTAATTTTATTAATTTCTGAATTAATAAGTACAGAGCTATCTTTTTGAGAATTCTTTTCTATTTCTTATTAGTATGATATCTTTCTTTACTCTGTTAATATATTATGTGTTCTCTCTCCTTTGACAGGTTTGTTTTGTAAAATTTTCCTGGAAAAATTCTTAGGGATACTTATAGCCCAGTAGTGGTATATATATGCCTTTTTTTTTTTCAAAAGATTTGTTTATGATTATAGAACTGGGTACATGCCAGAGGTGCTGGAGGCGGGGATGGGGGTGAGATGATTCACCAGAGACAGAGTGGGGAGCAGAACAGGCCAACTGACAAAGTGCACTGCTGAGGGGAGCAGTGGGCTGGTCAGGAGAGGTCTGCTGTGCCATGTGGGTCAGCTCCCTGGCAGGGGATGGAACTTGTGCTGCAGTGGCTTTGGAGAACTTAATAATGCAATGCTTTAATCCGTTATGCCACCAGGGAGAGCCCTATACATGCTTTTTTATGTTATAATTCGTAAACGTTTACTGTACTTATGGACTTGACCATTAATGAAAGACCTGAGATTAAGAATGACCCCTGCAGTCTGCAGCACAAGACCTAACATAACCTGGAAAATTTAATTTCTTATAAATAATTTAGGTTATCTTGGTATAAGGATTGGGAAATACTGAAATATTTTAAATGAAAACATTTTTGGTTTTTTTATTTAACAAAAAATATAATTCCATGAAAATTCATTGCTATAGAAAGTTCAGTGTATAATGTTCACTTCTCTTTACTACAGTTGTTCAAACGCAGAAATGTCTCTTTGCCCAGAAATGATGAATCTATGCTAGAAAGTCCTATCCAGGATCCAGATGTCAGTTCCACCGTACCCATTCCAGAGGTAGGAATTATAAAAATTTACGTTAAATTATATTTAAAAAACAAGTTAGAGATAGTAGATATAGCAAGCACTACTCATGCCAAATTTTCAAATGACAAATTATATATTTATATATGTCTATATTTTATGTTTTAGGAAGAAGTTATTACCACAGATATGGTTCAGATGATTTTTTCTAATAATGCTGAACAACAACTTACAGCAACACAGAAATTTAGAAAGCTGCTTTCTAAAGGCAAGTACAGTTGCTATTACACGATTCTCTAGAGTTTTATTTACTATTTTTTTTATTTTAAGTCAGTTTTCTTTTCCATTAGGTCATCATTTTTCCATACAAAGTATTTTAAGTAATAGTTAATGTTTCTTAAACATTGTATTATCAAAGCAACATGCTATTGTAGAAATTTACAGACACAAAAGAATTTAAAGAAGCAGATATAAAAATTAAGTCTGGTTACCAAGAAACAAAGGTATATATGGGAATATTTTAAAATTCTTTTAGAAATATTGCTAGCCATGTTTTTAAGTAACATAATAGTAACAAATATAAAATAACAATGAGACATTTGTTATAATGATTAATTTTTAGTTATAAGCAAAGTTACATAAATCCTTAGATGGATTCTAACTTTTTTGGTGTAAATTTGTAAAGGTGAAATTGTGGGTTAAAGACAATAAATAGCTTTTTAGTTTTTCTCTAACCTTTAATTTATACAAGTATTTATCTCATTTTTATCAATAATTTTTTTTAATGAAATGTTACATTTTTATATAACAGTTCATTATCTGGCAATTTTGGGGTACTTAGGTTGACTATTTTTCTGTTATTACTCATCTTTGTAATTCATAATTGCCTATTTCTTTTTTGTTGAATTTTATATTGATTTTATAAAAATTCACTAAATAAAATTTTAATTCTTACTCTATGTTGTATTTCTTTTTTTTTTTTAAAGATTTATTTGTGCATACAGAACTGGGGTACAGGCCAGAGGCGCAGGGGCTGCGAGAGGCTTCACCAGACACAGAGTGGGGAGCAGAATAGGCAGATCGACGAAGTACACTGCTGAGGGGAGCAGCGGGCTGGTCAGGAGACGTCTGCCTCGCCATGTGGTCACCTCCGGGGCAGGCGGGAATCGAACTCATGCGGAAGTGGCTTTAGTTTCTCAGTGCTGTGCTTTAACCCGCCGCCCACCGTGGGGGTGGGGGCGCCTCTATGTTGTATTTCTTAATAGAATTAATAAGTATAATTATATTGAGTTGTATGTATATGAACTGATAAGATTTTGAAAATGCCCTTGACCCAACTGCCTTATATTACTAAAAGAGACAGTAATATGTGAAGAATGGAAGAAATCTCGTGTTCAGGTCAGCATAGATTACAAGGCATTAGTTTCTGCTTTCTTGTTATAATAGATCACATGTATGTTTAGCTTTTGTTTTTCATTCCTTACCTCCCAAGCTACAGTAGTTTAGCAATGTTGGGAAATCCATATACAATCAGCACACTGGACCATAGTGGATGACTGTGGGTGCTTTAGTGCTGGGAAAACAGTGATGACCACATTTGAGAGGAGAAATCCTTTATCATGATAAAATAAACAAGATGTTTAAAAAACAAATAAAAAAAGATGTTTTTAAAGGGTAAGAAAAAGTTTGACCTGAAAAAACTCCAAGGGTTCGCTTTTTATAATTGGGATTATTTTATGAATCAATATTTTTAGGTATGTTTTGTATTATATTCTCTTCTAAGATTGCTTTTTGACATTCATTATAATCAATTTATAGAATTTATTTCGATTTACCTCTGTTTAAAAAAATGTTAGAGGGCCCTCCCCAGTGGTGCAGCCGGTTAAAGCACAGCACTGAGAAGCTTGGGCCACTTCCACATGAGCTCTATTCCCGCCTGCCCCGGAAGTGACCACATGGTGCAGCAGACCTCTCCTGACCCGCCCGCTGCTCCCCCCAGCAGTGTACCTCGTCCATCTGCCTGTTCTGCTCCCCACTCTGTCTCTGGTGAATCCTCCCACCCTTGGCATCTCTGGCCTATACCCCAGTTCTGTATGAATAAATAAAAACTTAAAAAAAAAAAAAGTTAGATTTTGCCACTGTGGCTTCATACTACAATCTCCCAGTTCGTTGGGTATAAGATTTTTATTCTCATTTACTCTACCTCCCCTTGGATCGTTTTTCGTAGAGTCTATGCTTTTTTATTTTTGTTGTTTGCTTTTTTATTTTTTGGTAGTGGGATTTGCTTGTCTGGGTTGGGTATACAGTAGGAGTTAAAAGATTTTTTCTTGTACTGACTTCATTTCTGCATGAAACACAGAAAATGAGCTAAGACTAAAACTGGAGCTAGAACTATAACTTCTTCTATTTTAAGTCATGATCATGATTATTTGCCAAAACCTCCTGTCTTTACTTGCCTGTCGTGGCTACATATGTGGATGTAGATCAACCACTGGCTATTCTCCAAAAACTTTTTTGTTGAGGGTGACACTTGCTTACTTGTAGTTTTGAAGCAGATATTCCTCTAGTTTACTCATATTTATATTGCCATATTGATATAAAGTCTTTTCGATACAAGTTCAACTGTCAATTAATGTCAAGTGGATGTTAACAGTGTTCGATCCCAACCCTGGAGGTGACCCACATGGCGTGGCAGACTTCTCCTGACCCGCCTGCTGCTCCCCTCAACAGTGTACTTTGTTGATCTGCCTGTTCTGCTTCCCCACTCTGTCTCTAGTGAATCCTCTCATCGCCCCTGCACCTCTGGCCTGTACCCCAGTTCTGTATGAATAAATAAGTCTTTAAACAAGAACCTCACCTGACTGATAGAAATTAGGCAATTCATAGCTGATAGTGAAGACTGCATCCCTGGAAATTGAGAGTGGAATTGTAAAGAACTTTATCTCCCAGCCAGTGTTTATGCATGGAAATTGAAATATGCTCATGTTTGTAACCTCCTAAATAGCCTCCAATTTAAGAAATTTAGATATTTGTATAGGAAGTTTTTAAAGCTTTTCTTACTCTGGTTGATGAAAAAGAATTTTCTTGGCATTAACATTGCAATTTTAAGAAAATTTGTCATCTTTTTGTGTATATATATATATCCATCTGGAACCTAGTTATTTTGTGTGTTCTGTTAATTGACACAGGGACAGATCATTGTTTTTTTTTTGTGTCTTTGTAATAATTTAATTCTTTTTTTAATTTTTAGAACCTAATCCACCAATAGATCAAGTTATACAGAAACCAGGAGTTGTACAGAGATTTGTGAAATTTCTTGAGAGAAATGAAAATTGTACTTTGCAAGTGAGTTCTGTAGTTTTTTTTTTTTAAAGTCCCTTCCTAAAAGTGACATGTTTGAAGTTTCTAGTGAAACTTCTACAGTGCTGAATATAGTTGAAACATTTGGTAAAATACTGGGTAATTAAAAGTTTATGCCACGGGACTATGGTGATGGCACACGGGTGACTTGGTGATGGGAAAGCCTTGAGGATTACAATTGAGATAAAAATAAAATGTACAAAATGATATAAAAATAAACTCTTATATTATTAAAAAAAAAGTTTATGCCACCTATTTTGACTTGGTCATAGTTGCATTATTTGTTTCTTCTAGGAAATGTTATTTTTTGTAAAACAGCTTTCGGAAAATACATAAAAATCATTTCTATTGACAATAAAAATTTTGTATTCATTAACTTTTAATAGCTTTTTTTTTTGTCTAAGAAAAACCTCAAATGAAATGTTTATTAATGGTAAACTTATTTTGTCTCTTAACTAGGATTATTAATTTTTTTTATTTTTTATTTTATAACAGTTTATTTTTACACCATTTTGTACATTTTTTTTCCATCTCAATTGTAATCCCCGCGGGTTTCCCATCACCAAGTCACCCGTGTGCCATCACCATAATCCCGTGCACTTCCCCCTGTTTAGAATTATTAAATTTTAATGTCAATTTTTTCCTCTTTAAAATATTTTATTTTATTTAAAAAAGATATTAGTATAGTTTGTTTTAAAAAGCAACCAGTTAGGCCCTCTCTGGTGGTGCAGCGGGCTAAAGCACAGCACTGAGAATCTAAAGTGCTTCCGCGTGAGTTCGATTCCCGCCTGCCCTAGAGATGACCACATGGCATGGCAGACCTCTCCTGACCCGCCCGCTTCTCCCCTCAGCAGTGTACTTCGTCTGTCTGCTTGTTCTGTTCCCCACTCTGTCTCTGGTGAAGGGTCTCGCCACCCCTGAGCCTCTGGCCTGTACCCCAGTTATGTATGCACAAATAAATAAATCTTTAAAAAAAAAAAAAAAGCAACCAGTTAAATGTATCTTAAAGATCATTGCTCTCAGTTATACTATAGAGACATTTTATGATGCCTTCCAAATAATTGAGTACTAGTACTAAATTTTCAGTTTGCATATATTTTGCTGTTTTTTAAAAAAAGATTAATCTTCCAGATTTCCTTCACTTTATATTCTTAACATTACAGGGTGAGATTTTATATATCAGGAAATCACACATAACATAAGTGATAATTGAAATAGCAAAATAGATAAATATTCTGCCAGAATGAATAAGGAGAAAAAAGCTAACCCAAAGGAATACGAACAAGGAAATAATTGGAGGGCCACAGAGGACACTTTTTGCTGACATCATATAAAAAGAGTTCTTGGTACTTCGATTACTGTTAACTAAATAATCTTTTTTTTTTTTTTAATTTTGCATGTCATTGTTTTAAAAATTTCTTTGATATTAATAACAAGACAGTTTATTAATGCTTTTATCAGTAATGGAGAACTGCTACTTGTATTTTATAGGAGTTGTTGCAATTAAAACTTGGAATATTGTTTCACTTGTGTGAATAATTTAAGAAAATGCCTCACATTTTAGGTAAAAACAAAGCAATGTGTTGCACATGTGAATGTTACTTATCATGAATTTTATGCTGAAAAAATCATTGAGAATGTTTTTGTAAGCATGTAATGCTCTCTGAGAAAAAGGCCAGTTTATTCATGTTACATTCTTACTGTCAATTAATTTAAAAGTCTTTGATTGTAATTCTATACGGATTGGAGATTATGTCATCAGGTTCCTTTGTTCTATATCTAAATTCCAAGTTCAAATTAAAACCTAAATCTTAGAGTATTATTTGACTCCTTAATTCTAAATGAATGAAAGTGGAAATAAATAAATGTGTCAGTAAAATTGTGCGCTAATTTGAAACATACAATGTTTAAACCATTGTTACTACAAAATTGAGTAAGATACTGTACCTCTCTGTCTTCTTTATAGTGTGTTGGAGAAAACAAACAGATTTGTTATAACAACTTACAGTATCCTTCATGCTATAGTAGAAGTATAAAAAAAGCACTTTGGGAGCAGGAAAAATACAGCAGTTTAACCCGTATAGGGAAAGTTTAGGATGATAGTTCCATGGCTAGTTGTGTGGATGAAGGATAGCTTGGCTGGTTGAAAAGAGGAAAATTAGTTTCTGGTTGTGAGAATACTGTGTTCACGGAGCATAGTGTATTCAGTAAGAATATTCGGGAATGAAGTATTTATTAACCATTACTTCTTAAAAGAATACCACAAGTTCTGTTCCTGATTTGCTAATAAGGAGCCCTTTGACCTTGAGCAAATCACCTGAATCTCTGGACTTAATAATTTTCTTTCTTATATAGGGGAGTTGGGACCAAAAGATCCTTAAGAAAAAATAATTTATGATTATTAAATTCTATAAGTATTTTCTTCTGTTATGTAGTGACATTTTAGGTTTTAAAGTACTTGCTTTAGAACACTTGACTTGTCTAAAAGTAACATGAATTTTATGAATTGCAGATTCAAATGTTTTATGTATTGTTCATAGTTTTGTTAATTTTCATTATAGTCTAATTTCCTATTTTCCATATTGAAGAGTCCTTTTTTTAAATTAAGAGTTTTCAATCTCTGAAATCAGTTTTCACACTAACTCTTACTAATTTAAAAGTCAGTCATTTTCTCAACTTGTCCTTCTAAATGTTTACTCTATATTCTTTCCTTCTTTACCTTGCTGACATTTCTGTGGTGATTTCATTTATTCTACTTTTGCTTTTCCTTAGTTTGAAGCTGCATGGGCATTAACTAATATAGCATCTGGAACTTTCCTGCATACTAAGGTGGTCATCGAAACCGGTGCTGTCCCAATTTTTATCAAACTTCTCAATTCAGAACATGAAGATGTTCAAGAACAGGTATGTTTTTAATTTGAACTGCTATTTTGACCTCCAAAAATGATATATCAGTTGATGATCTCACCAACAAATACTAGAATTATGGAGGGGGAAATGTTATCACTTTCAGAGATTTTTCTTTAAAAAAAAGTAGAAAATAGGTCAAGTAGATGTAAAAACTTTTAACTTATGTTTTAAAAGTCAACATTAAATTTTCCGAGTTGAAAAAGTAACTTATGACTTTTTTTCTTATCTGAAAAATTAAAAATGAAAACATAATAAAATGGCAATTTTCATTTATCTTGTTTAATTAAAAACTTAATAAGTGAATAATTTGATCTTTTAACCATTTATTTTAAAAATTATGGTGAAGCTATTCTAATTCTAAGCTTCAAATGGTCAAATTCAGGCTAATTTTCGTATTAGCTATTACTTCACTTTTCTATACTTTGTCTCTCCCTTTTTTCTTATTTTTTTATTTTATTTTTTACAAAGTAGTTTCTTACACTAAGTGGATTTCTTGGCATAGGAGCAAACTTCTAGTAGAGGTAATTGGAAAATTTGCAGAATAGCGGTATTTTGTCTCTTCATGTACATTCAGAACATGCAAACTATGTCCTTTGTTGAATGGAGTATACATTTCACTATTTTTAAAATCTCTGTCCTTCAATTTGAATAAAAATATTAAATGAAAATTAAAATTTTTCTTCTCTTACCATTTTATTTATATATATTTTATGTCATTCTTCCTTTATATATAACGTATACTTTCTCCTCTCAGGTACAGTTCCCATTTTGTTGTTTTAATAGCATTTCCCCCCCACATCTTGAAAAACTACATTTTGCTCATTCTATACTAAAGTATTATTTTTAAGAGAGAGCACCTATTTAAGATACTGTCCTGTAAGAATTTTTTTTCTCTTTTTTCAAAGGCTGTTTGGGCACTTGGTAATATTGCTGGTGACAATGCAGAATGCAGAGACTTTGTTTTGAATTGTGACATACTTCCACCACTTTTAGAGTAAGTACTTTCTTTAATTTTACCACAATTTAATTAAGATTACCTTTGGAAAAGAAAATTGTATTTTCCAATATATTTCATCATGTACAATTAGATAATTTCATTTATGCTTTTATATGAGACTTAAGTTCAGTCCTGCTTGCAATAGCTTGAAAATACATAAAATAAAACCAAATTTGTATCACATGTCTTTTATGTTTTCTTGGCTTAACTGATGCTTGCTGTACTTATTCTACAAGTAATGATATATGTTTTTATACAGTAAAAATGTTGCTGAAGTAGGGAATCTATAATACAGAAATAATGCCTTTACAATGTCAGTAGATTTTTATATTTGATTTTGAAATGTTCAGAGAACAACAAACTTAAGAGATTTTTCTTTTAGTATTAGAATTTGCTTACGATGACATTTAGTGGTTTCTTTTTAAATACTTTGCACATTTTTTTTAAAAAGAAATTACCCTATAATGTAAGTTTCTTTACAGATATATTATAAAATTGTTCTAAAGGGAGAATTGTAAAAAAATCTTTTTTGGTTATCATTTACTAAAAGGATTTTTGTTTAACCTAACAATGACATGTGGTGTAGGGGGTGGAGGGAAACTAATTGAGGGAATGTTTGCAAGGGAAAATTTTAATCTTATCATTTCTATGCTTCCCCCCTCCTCTCAGCTGAGGAATTGAACAGGAGGAACAAACATTTAGCCATTAGTTTACAAAAAAAGTTACATTATTTTAAAGAGAATAGGTTTGTTTTTTTTGTTTTTTTTTGTGAAATGATTTCTCAATATGATTTTGTCCAACTGGTAGTTAAGTACCTATTATATGCAGGCTGTTGAGCTACACACTCTTATTTTCATTGGGTTTATCCAGTTAATGTTTGGATGTAACTGTGTTATAACAGAAAACACTGACTTAGAACTCAAAGTCACAGCCATTTTGAAGTCGATACTGTTACAAGCATCTGAAAATTTAAATTTGAGATATTTTTGATGTGATGGTTTATAGATTAACTGAGCACTGTTTTAAAATAAATCTTTCTCTTTCTCCACATCACTTTATTATTTGTTATTATTTAAGTTAGTAATGGTTTATGAAATAGTAGGTTAGCATTTCTTAAGTCTGATTCTTCAAATGTGCTAAAGAGATTTTAATCATAACCAGTAGTGATCATTAGGTGTTTAGAATTGTAAATTTCCCTCTGAACTTTGCTTTCACTGTATTTTTATTTTAAGTTTTATTATGCTGTGGCTCATTTCATTTATTTCAAAGAATTTTCTAACTTAGATTTTTTAACCCCTTCGCTATTTAAGAGTGTGATTTCATATTCACACAATATGTTTACTTTGATTATTAAAACACAATAAATTTTTAAACCTCTCTTTTATCTGCTTTTTTCAGGTCATTGTGAATGTCTTATAAAATATACTGAGAAATTTCATGTTATGATGGGAAATAAAGAGGAAAACTAAATATAATAGCGCAATTACCTTTCTCATTTTCTTGGCAGGTTGTTAACAAATTCAAACAGACTTACAACAACCAGAAATGCTGTTTGGGCCCTCTCAAATTTATGTAGAGGCAAAAATCCACCTCCAAATTTTAGTAAGGTATGAGTAAATGTACAAATTTAGAAATTTGTCTACATAAACTTTTAAGTGTCCTTACCATAGGTTTTAAAGATTTAAGGGACTTTGTTCACATTTTTTAGAAAGGTGATTTAGACATAGCTAGGGGATCCCACATACATACCTGAATTACCACATATCCGTATTCTAAATGAGATTAATGGTATTGTGATATACTATCATACTTTGAAACAAGAGAGTGCTTTAATTTCTCTGCTGTTTTTGTAGCATTACAGTTTTGTTTTAAAATGAGTTTCTACATTTTTTTTTTAAAGAAATTTGGTTTTAGATAGAAAAAAATTTTAAGTATTGGCTCTTTCTTCCCTTCTAGGTTTCACCTTGCTTAAATGTCCTGTCACAATTGCTGTTTAGCAGTGACCCAGATGTATTAGCAGATGTGTGTTGGGCCCTGTCTTACCTCTCCGATGGGCCCAATGATAAAATTCAAGCAGTTATTGATTCTGGAGTCTGTCGGAGATTGGTGGAACTTTTGATGTAACTATAATTTTTGATTAATACTTGTGTGATTGGATTAGGTTTAGTAGAGTAATTGCCTGGTAAACGTGTTTAAGAGTCATTATTTAGAAAGAATTGAGACTTTAAAATCCCTGCTACAGGAAAGCTATACTACTGAAAAGTTGACTCTTAAAATTCTATCTCATATCCTGTAGTTGAGACTAAGCACTTTGTTAATGAATTTTGTTGATTTTTATATTACCTCATTATGAATGAGAGGGGATTAATGGAATATCTGAATATCTGTTACCTGCTAGAGTATTTATAAGACATTGTAAGTGAAGTGCCTGCTCTCACAGACAAATAAGCTAGTTAAGTGTTTATTGCAATAATTAATTTGTGAAAAGTTCATGTACTGAAAATCATGTATTTCAATTTCATTAAAGATAATGTTTCTCTTTGCTCAGTTATTACTGTACCTTCTTTTAAAAAACAAGTTTTTTTTTAATAACAGTTTATTTTACATTTTTACATTTTTTTTTCCATCTCAATTGTAGTCCCCATGGGTTTCCCATCACCAAGTCACCCATGTGCCATCACCATAATCCCTCCCCCCCCATTTTTGATCCCATTCCCCACTCCACCCCCACAAAATGTCTCTGGTATATGGCTACTCATTACTCTTAAAACAAGTTTTTTTTTTTTTTTATACAGAGAAATTACACACAAGAAATTTGTTTTTAAAAGATATTCAAGAGTTTCTTTTTAATCCCATTCCCCACTCCACCCCCACAAAATGTCTCTGGTATATGGCTACTCATTACTCTTAAAACAAATTTTTTTTTTTTTTTATACAGAGAAATTACACACAAGAAATTTGTTTTTAAAAGATATTCAAGAGTTTCTTTTTAAACAAATGTTTTCTCTTATAAAAATAGCCAGTAGGTAGGCACAAGAGAGGTCTATAAAGGAGCTATATATACCCTCAGCATGGAAAGGGCACTAGAGGAGGTTGGGCAGGCAGGTCCAATAAGGAGGGGTCAGGGATGAATCCCACCTATATGAGGGCAAGCAAGTAGGTTAGAGTTGGGGGTGGGATGGAGTTAACATACATGGGGTAACTGTCTAGCTGGGTCAGATAATGGGCTACTTAAAGGAAAAGTGGGCCACTTATAAGAAAAATAATATAAATGGTTACCTTATTGTTACAGAATAGAGGAATGCCAGAATAAATAGTGGAAGAATCAATGTGAACTTAGGACTTTTAACATAAAGAAATAGATGTAGAAATAAATATATTTGTAAGTGTGTGTTTTAAAAAGTCTGGCAATAGCATACAGTTAAACTAACCAGGTCAGAACCTGCAATGCCCAAATCTTGGTTTCTAAAGTAATAGTCCCATTAAAAGTTACCATGGTTCTTGAAGAAATGGCTAATTATCAGGCATAGAACTGGGAATAAAAGTAAGATGAACCCAGGAAGTAATGGAGAAATGTCAAAAGGACATTGAAGCCAACTTGAAGGGACTCCTCTGTTAATCTGGGACAGTTTGAAAATTCAAACAAAATTGTAGCAATATATAATTTATTGAATAAAATAGGAACCAATGATACACACTAAAATAACTACATCAATAGCAAGCAGGGATAGGTTGGCGGGGGGAGAGAGAGAAATCAGACAACAATCATCAGGAGATGCTAACCTTAGGGGTGAAGTGGGATTTTATATCATCTAAAATATTTCCTTTCAACATATTAAGCATAAGGGACAAATATTATGGTGAAGAAAACTTGTAGATGTCATCTGAAGAGCAGTGTTCAGCAGCACTATAATAGATAAAACAGATACCATATGTGCTTTAAAACTGTGGAGTGAAAAGACTATATAGCATTTGTGATATACTTGCCAAAATATATAACTTGGATTGTAATCATAAGGAGACTTGATACACACAAATAATTATCTAGTGTTTAACAAAAATGCCAAACTTGTGAAAAACTAAGGAACTATTTTGAGTTGAAAGAGTGGAAAACATGACATGACAGCTTTGTGCCATGATTAGATTTTTGTTACAGATGTATTAGAATCTTTGTTATAACAAAGATTTGGTATAAAGACATTAGTGGTATAATTAAAGGTATTACTGGGAATCTCTGGATAAAAAAATTTACAGAATTCTTTGTATTTTTGGGAAACTTCTATCAATGATTCTTATATAAGTTCATATTTTTATTATTTCTAGGCATAATGATTATAAAGTTGTTTCACCTGCATTAAGAGCAGTTGGGAATATTGTGACTGGTGATGATATTCAAACACAGGTGAGTTCAGACTTTAATTTGATAAATTGTCAAGGTAACAGACTTAAGTCATATTTCATATCACATGTTTATTATTCCATTTTAGCATCGTCATAATTTTATAAGCATCTATGATGTAACATAAGCATATTCCTAATAATACATGATGAACTTCAAATACCTCTATGTGGACTGTATCCTAGTCCTTTTTCTTTTTTTAAGTTTTATTTATTTGTTCATACAGAACTGGGGTACAGGCCAGAGGCTCAGGGGCGGCGAGAGGCTTCACCAGAGACAGAGTGGGGAGCAGAAGAGGCAGATCGACAAAGTACACTGCTGAGGGGAGCAGCGGGTGGGTCAGGAGAGGTCTGCCACGCCATGTGGTCACCTCCGGGGCAGGTGGGAATTGAACTCATGTGGAAGTGGCTTTAGCTTCTCAGTGCTGTGCTTTAACCCGCTGCACCACCAGGGAGGGCCTCCTAGTCCTTTTTCAATTAATGAAGTAATACAAGTTTTGTTCTTGAGTGATTTACAATAGATTTGGGGAGAAAATATATAATAAAACAAAATAGATTACCCAAAAAAGTACATGTCTGCTGTGATCTGATTGTTCAGTCAGTGCTGTAAAGGTTTTAAAAAAGTTGGTGGCACAACAGGTTAAAGTGCAGCACTATGAAACTAGCCTCAGCCACTGGTGAGTCCTTCACCCCTGTACCTTTTGCCTATATCCCAGTTCTTGTACGCATAAATAAATAAATCATTTTTTAAAAAAAGAGAATAGTATCTAAGAAATCTTGTGCTACATCTTAAAAGTAGAAAAAACTTAAGACTTTAAAAGATTCATGTTACAATATACAGAGGCAGTCATGTGTGCGGTATGTTTAAGAGGTATTAAACTTGACTTGAAACAGTTCTGAGAGGATGATTGATTTTAGTTTATTTTTTAAAGATTTATTTATGAATACAAAAACTGGGGTACAGGCCAGAGGTGGGAGGGTAAGAGGATTCACCAGCAACAGAGTGGGGAACAGAACAAGCAGACACACTGGAATACACTGCTGAGGGGAGCAGTGACATTGACTGGTACTGCTGAGGGATGTCAGGAGGGGTCTGCTGCACTATGTGGGTCATCTTCCTGGCTGAGAATCAAGCACATGCTGTGGTGGTTGCCAATAGCTTCCCAGTGCTGTGCTTAGTTCTTTGCTCTACCAAGGCCCTAAGGGTAATTGTTTTTAAGTAGGTTAGACCTGGGATTGGAAATGGAAGTGTTTTTTTTTAGGATTTATTTATTTATGCATACAGAACTGGGGTACATGCCAGAGGTGCAGGAGTGGTGAGAGGATTCACCAGAGACAGTGGGGAGCAGAACAGGCTGACTGACAAAGTACACTGCTGAGGGGAGATGCGGGCGGGTCAGGAATGGCAAGTGGGGATTAAACTCCTGCTGAAGTGGCTTTAGCTTTTTAGTGCTGTGTTTTAACCCGTTGTGCCACCAGGGAGGGTCAGGAAGGATGTTTTATAGTAGATTGAAGACCTAGAATATGAGAATGGAAGGAAAAATAGCAAGGAACCATTACTGGGATATGTTGTTGTGTGTCTCTCTTTCTTTTTGTGTTTGTGGAGGATGTTAAGATGTCAAGATTGTTTTCAGATCTGGGGTACAGTCATTCTTGGAAATGAAAATTTAGACTCTGAAATAAATAGTGGCTCTCCTTTGTTTCCATCATAAAATAAACATTTTATTCTAATACATACTTTCTTTAAGCTTTACTACATTAAAATCCTACTTAGACTCCTTAGTTAATGAATTTTGATCCTTAGTGATAGTTATTAATTTAAAATAGCTCTTTAAATGAAGGTGTCCTTCTGAACATACATCACATTTTTCAGCACTGCTTTATACTTTGTTTACCAAGTAAATGTAATGTAAATCACTTGGGGTATTTAGAAAATAGGAATGTGATTAATTTTTCCATGGAATAAAAAATATAAAGGAACAAAACAATATACTTCTGTACAAAGAAAAAGTGGGGTAGTAAAAATATTTTTCAAAAAGTTGTTATATATGAAAATCTTGTTATTTTACCTATTTTAAACCTATTAAACCATTTATAGTATATTAAAGCAAAATATGCAAATTAGTAATTCTATATAAAACATTTTAGTGCAACAAATAGCCTTGTTCTTCACATTAAGATTTATTAATTGTTAGGAAATTAGATAACTTTCGAACCATTTGAACTTTTTTTCATCAATTTTGGCAAAATTTTGTTGAATCCTGATCTCGCTTAATCTCTTTTCATATAGTTATATCAGTTGAACTCCAAGTGCACTTTTAAACCTGAAGGGTATACCACTGAGTGGCATGTTTATTTGCATTTTACTGAATTGAGAACAGGGCATTTCACTACACCAGAATTAGTGAATTTTTGGCAAGAGGAAGAACAAAAGATAGTACAGAACCTAAGTTTTACTTTGAGAGGAATTTCTTTTCTTTTTTAAATATTTATTTATGTGTGCAGAACTGGGGTACAGGGGCAGTGAGAGGATTCACCACAGGCAGATTGACAAAGTACACTGCTGAGGGGAGCAGTGGGTGAGACTGGAGAGGTCTGTTGCACCATATGGGTCACCTTCTTGACTGGGTTCAAACTCCTGCTGTAGCTCTGGCTACTTTCATAGTGCTGCGCTTTAACCTGTTGCACCACCGGGAGGGCCCAAGAGAGGAATTTCTTTTTTAAGCTTAGTTTGTCAGGATGGTTTTTGTATTTCTAAATAATTCATATTTATATTGGTATCAAACTTTGTGTTTTCATTTCTAACATATTTTAGGTGATTTTGAATTGCTCTGCATTACCCTGTCTCTTACATTTATTGAGTAGCCCAAAGGAGTCAATTAGAAAAGAAGCATGCTGGACTGTCTCTAACATCACTGCTGGTAATAGAGCTCAGATTCAGGTAAATTCCTTTCAGATTTGAGGGCTGAATAGGAAGACCTCATAAGTCAGCATTTTATCAGTGATTTTTTTTTTTAGTGAACTATAAAAAATGATTCTTGAAAAGTATTTAAAGAACATGGCCTTTCTAACTCAAAAATAACAAAATGAAATATATATCACATGTGTTTGGTATAGATGTATATGAATATACATGTGATATAGATCTGTAGATATCAAATTGCCACCTAATAATTTATCATTTAAAATGGATAGATTTCATTAGTTTAAATTAGGTAATAGTCTTCCTCCAAAAACTTTTAAGTAATGATAATAGTATACTAAAACTCTTCTTAAATCAGTAATCACTCTTTTGATCAAACATATACATAGGACTTGTGTTTCATTATCCTTAACATTCATATTTTACTGCTTGGAAAATATATATGAGTTTCTTGATAAATTAGAAATAAAATACTACCAAAGGTATTCCATAAAAGCCTGACATTTTAAGGCCACTGAGTTCCAGTATTCCTCTACTTAGTAATATTTTTTAAATTGTATTTGTATTGATTGTGCTATATCATTTTTTGCTCCTCAGGCTGTTATAGATGCAAATATTTTTCCTGTTTTGATTGAGATTCTTCAAAAAGCAGAGTTTCGAACCAGAAAAGAAGCAGCGTGGGCTATTACTAATGCAACATCAGGAGGCACTCCAGAACAAATAAGGTATGAAAAATTTTTTTCAATTGTTTTATAAATATAAATGGGATAAAATGTGAACTGCTACATTTTATTTGTTGATGAAACTGAAACATTTCTATGTCAGTTTAATAAACATTTCTGATGTAAAAAAGTATCTGTTATTTCATTTATTTCATCTGTTATCATTCATTCACAGGGGGTTATTTTTTTCATTTAAACTATACTTAATATTATTCTCCGTGGTAAACTATTCATGAACAATCAGATTAAATATCTGAAAAAGGTAAGTACTAATTAATCTGCAAAATACACTACTTTGAGCCTCTAGTATATTAAGCCATTAAAATCAAACACATGTAATTTTGTGATCCAAACATAACAAATATCAGTGACATTTAATTAAATATCAACATTTAAGTGTCAGTATTTAATATTGATGTTACCTAATCAATTGTTACCCTTACCTGTGCATAGTATCTTACTTATATACATACATATTTTTAAAGATTTATTTATTTATGCATACAGAACTGGGGTATAGGCCAGAGGTTCAGGGGTGGTGAGAGGATTCACCAGAGACAGAGTGGGGAGCAGAACAGGCAGATTGATGAAGTACACTGCTACGGGGAACAGCAGGCGAGGCAGAAGTCTGCCGTGCCATGTGGGTCACCTCCCTGGCTGTCTGGGAATCGAACTCTTGCTAAAGTGGCTGTAGATAGCTTCATAGTGCTGCATTTTAAGTCGTGAGCCACCAGGGAGGGCCTTTGAACCCACTAGTTTTAGTTCTCATGTGCCATGCACAAAACAGCCCAAGTTCTAATTGGTGTGTACAATTTTATAATAAATTCAATACCATTTATTACTAATAATTTTGTGAGGGGTGAAGTTTTCCATTCTATATAACTGAAAATTTAATGTTGAGTTTGTATAGGAATAATTTTCTTAGTTAAGATAGCATTTCCTTATGAAGAGTATTTTCATAACCAAGTCTTTTTAAATGTCTCCTCCCTCCACATTTATTTTTTAAATTATTTTAAAGGTATTTGGTAGCCTTGGGCTGCATTAAACCACTCTGTGACCTTTTGACTGTTATGGACTCTAAAATAGTTCAAGTGGCTTTAAATGGACTTGAAAATATTTTACGTCTTGGAGAACAAGAATCTAAGCAAAATGGACTAGGTGTTAATCCATATTGTGCTCTCATTGAAGAAGCATATGGTAAGCATTCTGTTAAAAATTTATAATTACACTCAGTTTTTTTTTTTTTTTTTAAAGATTTATTTATTTGTACATACAGAACTGGGGTACAGGCCAGAGACTCAGGGGCGGCGAGAGACTTCACCAGAGACAGAGTGGGGAGCAGAACAGGCAGATGGAGGAAGTACACTGCTGAGGGGAGCAGCGGGCGGGTCAGGAGAGGTCTGCCACGCCATGTGGTCTCCTCCGGGGCAGGCGGGAATCGAACTCATGCGGAAGTGGCTTTAGCTTCTCAGTGCAGTGCTTTAACCCGCTGCGCCACCAGGGAGGGCCCCTCAGTTTTTAATTACTTGCCATTGGTATTTCCACCCTTTAGTGCTATACAAATAGTTTATTATGAAAAAAGGAAGTGTAATATTTAAAAAATGTTTTTTAAAAAGTTACCTTAATTCTTTTACCCTAACAAATTCTTTTGACTGTATTTCTTTTTACGTTGTCCTTTTGTACTAATATTTTACATGGATATAATTGCAGTACACGTATAATTTTATTTTCTACTTTTTGATGTTTTGGAGATATTTTATGTGTCTACTCAATTTTCGTGATTTGTAATAGCTACATAATGCTATATTGTGTGACTATTGAGTACTGTTAAGGCATATTCTTACAGTTAACCATTCATTAGTGTGTTTACTAGTTGATATAGGCTTCAGTAAGCATCTGTCTGCAATTAATTTTTTTCTTCTATTGTATTGCACTCTTGGGATAAATTCTCAGAATGCAGTTGCTATCTTGGGCACAAGCTGCCTGTTAAGCTTTTGATGTATTTTCTGCTTTTCCTTTCCTAAGGCATGTTACTTTTCAGTGTGACTGGCTTTGTTTGAATCTTCTTCACAACCTTTACTTGTTTTGTTGACTTAGCTGATTAGCAATGTGAAATGGTTATATCCCAAGTTGCCTTTCTGTTTTATTCATATAGAAGTTGTTATGTATCTTTCCATGCATTAGTGCTGCTTCATATTACAAACATAATTGCAAATAATTATCTTTGTCCAGTTACCTGGTTTTTTTTGACAATTTGAATTATTTTAAAGTTCTTTATTTTCATACAGCTTTTCTCCCATTTTTCTTTTGCATTTTTATTTTAATGAGACAAACCTTGTTCTTTCATATTTAACAAATACCTCAGTCTAATCTTCTATTCTCTCAAAGTATATATAATCATTACCCCACACACATGGATTTGGTGTATTTATTGGTGAGATTTTTCTCATTAATTTCTTAAAACATTTAGCTCACATGGAATTTATTTTGGGATAAGTAAGGAATTTAAACTGATTTTTTTTTCATTCAACTTATTTCCATTAAACATTTAGTTGTCTTTTGTCCTGTTAAGTTGTATGATTCTTAAACTAAGCCTGGGATGTTACATTACCTTTATTTAGACTGTATAATGTCAAATACAAGATGTTAAACACTGATTTAAAATTTCCTTAGTATTATCATTATTTTGATTCCAGCTTATATTAGAGCTTGTTATTGTTTGTATAAATATGACCACTTTCGTTTATTATTTCTATTCACCGGTAATACTATTGAAGAGGTTTTTCAATTATTAAGTGGAATATATTTTCAGTATTACCCAGATTTATGTGTACTTTTTTAATTGTAAGCAATAAAAAATGCCATAGTTTCTCCTTATCCTTTCAAAATGGACCTTTTCCATTTTACTTACAAATTGTTCCTTTAATAAATTATAGATGAGCCATAGTTGGTTTGCAAATTGTATTCATTTAAACTTCACTGATATCCTCTAGCACACGTATATGTGCATGTTTAGCTGAATTTGTGTTTTAGGTTCCTCATCTCTTTTTATTTTGTTGCTTTCCCATTTGCGCTTTTTCCTTAGTATAATTGCTCTGGACTGAACCTGTGGAGGTACATAATCTAAAGTTGTCACTTTAAAATTGAGAAGCCAAAATATAGAGGCACCAAACTTACTTGGACAGAGCTACACCGTTAGCAGAACAGAGACTGATTTAAAAAAAAAAAAAATTAAATATTTTAAACGACCTTGTTTATTTTTTCACAATATAGGATTTCTTTCTTCAGGTGCAATCATACAGTTTTTCCACCACCCAGTGCCCAGTCTTCCACTACACTCCTCCATCCTCTTCTCACCCCTGTTTTGTACTCTTTCCCCTCCTGAATGAGAAATTGAGCCTCTTACTCCTAGGTTCGTGAGCCTTTCTCGTACTACACTGCCTCATACTCATTCTTGAAGTGTTAGCTATCAGCATATTCAAAAAATACAGGGAAAAGACACATTGGTGATAGGTCGTATTGATTATTTTTATTTACATGTATATTGAAACTCAAAATTTTGTATTAATATATATGCTTTGTATAATAGGTCTGGATAAAATTGAATTTCTGCAAAGCCATGAAAATCAGGAAATTTACCAAAAGGCTTTTGATCTGATTGAACATTATTTTGGTGTAGAAGATGATGACCCCAGCATTGTACCTCAGGTGGATGAAAACCAACAACAGTTTGTATTCCAGCAACAGGAAACACCAATGGAAGGGTTTCAGCTTTAACTTGGTAGGAGAAGTACTCATGTTTAAAAGGGGTAACTTCAGATTTCTCTTCTTTGTTGCAGTTTCAGTAGGAATGTATGATATGTTTTTACAAAGAACAGAATAGAAATAATTTCATGCACTTTTCAAAAGCAAAATGAAACACAAGTTTCCATTCATATGCAATCTATCCTTATGATTTTGTTTTTATATTGGTGTGCCTATACTTACGTCTCTTATTTATTTTTTTATCTTTTGTGAACAATTAAGTACATTATGAAATCATTTAATAACTTAAGCTTGAAAAGGAGAGCTTTGGTAAAGTAGTACATAATAGCTCTGAGTTTTCTAGTATTCTTGGAAACTGCATATTAGCAGTAGAGCTATTGATAATTACATTTTGGCAGCAAGTTTGACATATCCAATCTTTTCAATCTACCTCTGTCTTGAAGCAAACACAAAACAAAAAAGCTTCAGGGGCATAAAATAGTGTAAAAGTTGAATTAGAATGTGAAAATATTTATTACTTAAAATTATTAATCACTGTGCTGTAGGTTATACTTTGCAAAAAATTACAGTAGAAAACCTGAAAATTTATAAAAAATGGAGGAAATATTGTACTGATAATCAATTAAAATGTGGCAATTGTGAAGAGAGAAGCTATTCTTCATGTTGAACACATTAAAATGATTACTTTACAAAACATTTAACATTTTGTTTTTAACATATAAATGGCATTATTAGTATATTTTGTATTTCAACTGAATATGCTATCAGTTTCAAAAGTGTTTTATTATTTTTTCACTCTTTATTTTAAAGAGCATCATGATCAAGATGCCATCATGAATCTAAAGTAGTGCTGCATAGAAAAATAATACTATATTTCTTCCTCTGATTTTCCAGAGCAGTAATTGAGGTTTCACTTTCTATGTAATAACTAGGGTACTTAAATGGTAAAATTATCCTGAAGAAAACACCTGATGTGGTAAATTTTATTAAGTGCACATAATCTTTGGACATTAAAAGATGATACTAGTGAAAATTGCTAAGGATTATTTAATATGGGTAAAATCTATATTAAGAATTTTTTAATAAAGCATCAACCTGCTGCTTATTGTGAGTCTATCAGATTACATTTATATCAGACTGGTCAATATAAAGTGTGTGTGTTTTATGTATAACAGCAGAAACCTCTTGAAACTGAAACTTTTTAAAAGTTTCAACAGAAAAAAATATATATATATAATGTATTTACTTACAAATACATATAGATGCATATGTCAGTGTGTTTGTTATTCTCACAGCACTGTTACTTGGTATTTTCTAAGCCAATATAGTACTGTTGAAGTTGGTCTTTCATTTATAGTTACATGCAGGCTGTTAACATTTCCATTTATATATACCTAAAACACTTATTTAAAATTAGTTTATAACTGTTTTAAGATGGAACCTAAGGCATTTTTGATAAGATTCATAGTCTATTCTGTAAAGGAAGATTTCATTTATGTAGCATTTATAATGTTTCTGCTGGAAGTCAGAGGCATGTTACAAGAAGAAGAAAAAAACATATATAGGAGTACTTTTAAATAGTATGACACTTTGTAAATCATATATCATGAAATGAAGCTTTTGGCAAGACACTTAAAACCTCTAACTATAAAATACAGGTTTGAATGGCGTCTGTAATGCTAACTGCATCTGCCAAACCTTTTTTATATTGTTAAGTAGAGGATTGTATCTGTGTCCCTTTTATTGTAGTGGAGGTTATGAAGCTTAGTATAAAAAGTTTTTCTTTTGTATTATGTATATTCAAAAGAACAGGGTAATTATATGAAAGATCACCAAATTGATGATGACTTTATCAGATAAACAGTTTCTTATGGTGCAAATGGTTCTAAGTATCAGGTGACAGGGTATTTTATTCTTTCTAATCGGTTGAACTTGACAATGCAGCATAATTCATAAGCTAACCAGCTGTGCCTGCTTTTTTCCCTTGAGGACCCTGTGGTCACACTAATCTCTAAGTCAAGTCATTCAAGCAAAATAGTTTCTATGGGAGGAAAAGTAGATGTCTGTGTCTCCGTATATGCAGGCACATACATAGATGACCTTTGAGGGGAGGGTTTTAAATTTTTGCCAGTGAAGCAAGTAGGAAGTATGTTATATCTCTAAGTGCAAAGTATAACCATGTATTTTAAACATTTAAATAAGAAATTATTTTTAATTTCTTGCTTAACTACTTTGATTAGATTTGAAGGCAAGGAGGCACACTTTAATAGTTGGGACCAGCTGCTGGCCTGGGGATAAGTTTATTGACCAAGAATATCGTATACTTCTTTCTTCCATATTTTCTTAAAGATGATTACTCTTTTCAAATAACCCATTTAAAGGGCTCCAGAGTGGATCTTCATTATTTTAACTCTTTTTCTTAAGGTATATTTAAATGTGAGAGAAATTGTGCCAAGAAAAAATATTTAAGATAGGTTATAAAGGGGAATGCATGCAGCATTAATGCAAAGAAATTCAGACATTACATGAAAGAGTTTTTTTGTTTGTTTGATTTGATGTTCTAATTTGAATTTTGAATTTTTACTAATTTTGAATTTGAATTTTTACTAATCTATGCAATTATGCTTATTTATTTCATATTTTTAAGTACTTGACTCTACAATATATTTTGAGAGATTGTTTCTATAAATTATTTTTTATTGTCATTTTGTCCACTTACTGGTAGCACCAGAACAAGAAAGCAAACCAAAAAAAAAAAAAAGTAATAAAATTTGCTGGCACAGAAATAACATAAATCATTTGGTAAGTGAAACCTGTTTCCACTTAAAGGTTGATTTGTTAGATTAAGGGCTTGAAGAAACATCATCTTTGCTTTTGTGTTTTTTTTTCTTCTCTTACAAAGGAGCATTATGGCAAAAGTATTATATGAAGTCTTAATGATATCTGCTGCTGTTCTCAATTCAGCAATCATCTGACTACTTAATTGTGAAACTGTGAAATCAAAGTAACTGTTAACCTTTATTCAGTTTAGTTCATAGCATTACTGTTTTATGAAATGTGACTTAACTAGGAGCTAAATGATAGGCTTTAAAAGGATAATATGTCTTTAAATTCTGATTGGGGAGTGGGATAAAGGAAGGATATTCTTGCTTAATTAAGCCACCATTTGAGCAGTATGCAACATTATAAAATATTACAGCATTATATTAAAAATAATAAAATACTGTTTTACAATTGCATTTATAAATGTGTCTATTTGTTGTCACTTATGATTTTGTTTTTTCTAATAGAGTAAAATAAGGTGCCTTCATTAATTAAAATTTCACCTAATTTCTAAAACCAAAAAAAAAATGTGTAGCGTAACTGATAAAGAAGCATGTTACTTTTATTTTAGAACTTACATTTTTTTGCTATAATGAGAATGTGTTTAGTTATCTTTGTATGTCAAAATTTGGCAATTAGTGGGCATTCAGATGTTTTAACTGAGCTTATTTTTTTTTCTGAGATTTTAATGCAGTGCATTGCATTTTAAGTTTTAAAAATAATAAACATTAGAAATATGAAATGCTAATATATATAGTAAATTGACATGTGCTTTTCCCTAGTTATTTTCAACTGGCTATATCTGTAGCCTATTCCATCGCAAAATATAAAGCTCTTCATTCCTTATTGTACCTCCATAGAATTCCCTTTTGTGGACATACTGTTATTTACTCCATTATTCATTATTTATGGACATTAGCATTGTTGTAAATGGTATGGCAATAAGTGTCCCTGTAAATTGCTAGCTCAATGCATAAATATATGGTTTTTACTAGATATTATCAAATTTCCCTCTAGGGGTCATACTGTCTTTCAGTCTAACGAGAAACATTTGAGAGGACCTCCCTACTCAAAGCTTTGGAAACAGTTATATTTTTCAGGTTACTTTTTTTTTTTTTTTAATTTATTTATTTGTGCATACAGAACTGGGGTATAGGCCAGAGGCTCAGGGGCAGTGAGAGACTTCACCAGAGACAGAGTGGGGAGCAGAACAGGCAGATAGACGAAGTACACTGCTGAGGGGAGCAGCGGGCGGGTCAGGAGAGGTCTGCCATGCCATGTGGTCACCTCTGGGGCAGGCGGGAATCGAACTCATGCGGAAGCGGCTTTAGATTCTCAGTGCTATGCTTTAACCCGCTGCGCCACCAGGGAGGGGCCCAGGTTACTTTTTTTTTGTTTATTTTCATTTTAGCAACTTTTGTGTAATTTATGTACTGTAAAATTCACCCATTTTAAATGTACATTTTGAGTTTTGATAAATTGCATTACTGCATTCCACTTCTGGAAGGCTTCCATCACACAGTTCTGTTGTGAGCACTGTTAATTAAATGTGTGGTGTAAATTTATTAGCGGGTGTAGATAAACATAAATGGCATAGATTCTGACCCCAAACATGTGACAACAAACTTTAACCCCTATCTTTCCTTGAGATCTAAAGATGCTAAGTAGGTCAATTTCTCTTATTCTTGCTCTCATTGGTTTAATGTATCAATTTGACTAGGCTACCATACTCTATATACTCCTTTACTTACAAAGGAGATATCCTCTGTGCAAGTCACATCTAATCAGTTGGAAGCCTGCAGAGCAAAACTGGGATTTTTCTGAAGTAGGAAAACAACTGCCTTGGAACTTTAGCTCTGGCTTACTGGAGAATTCTAAGCTTGCTGTCCTGCGCTTCAGATTTCTGACTTTCCACCCCAGATTGTGTAAGCTGATCCTTTAAATAAGTTACAGATATGTATAAATATGCAGTATACATCTGCATATGGGTAATACACATGTTCACCTAGGATATAGCTATAAAAATGCTTTCATCTGTATACAGGTGGGCACACACACAAGTGCACATATACACATGTGATATTAATCTATTCTGTTTCTCTGGTAGAATCCTGACTGATAGAATCATCACTCCCACCACCACCAAACTCCAGGTATAAGTTTTCTGGGATTCTAGCTTTTTGTGGATGATTCTCAGTCCACCCGCTCATATTTAGAATCCTCATGTTTTTGTTTTTAGTCCATACCATACAACCACCTGGGATAGCCAGACAGCTTGATACCTGTGACATAGTAGCATCAAGTGGGTATACTCATGTTTTATTGTCTATAGTAAAGGATCTTCCCTTTTTTTTCTTCCCAGTAATTCAGTAAAGTATTTCAAAAACTGTGTTAAAAAATATTTTATCCAGAATTTTTAGCTCAATACTGGTGGATGGCTTTCATCTAACCAGAAATAATAACAATAACCATACTCATGCTTGTAAATATTTTCCTTGAGATTTTTCTATACTAAGAATATCCTAGGAGTTTTCAACAGGGCATACCAAAATGCTTTTTAAAAGGCATGCAGAATAATATACTTTTTTTTTTAAAGATTTATTTATTTATTCATACAGAACTGGGGTACAGGCCAGAGATGTGTGGAGGGTGATAGGATTCACCAGAGACAGAGTGGGGAGCAGAACAGGCAGATGATCAAAGTACACTGCTGAGGGGAGCAGTGGGCGGGTCAGGAGAGGTCTGCCACGCCATGTGGTCACCTCCGGGGCAGGCGGGAATCGAACTCATGCGGAAATGGCTTTAGCTTCTCAGTGCAGTGCTTTAACCCGCTGCGCCACCAGGGAGGGCCAGAATAATATACTTTTAAGAGAACTGGTTTCCAGGTCTATATGTACTCTTTCTTAAAATTAATCTAAGAATTGGGGCCTACCTGGTGGTGCAAGGGGTTAAAGTGCAGCATTATGAAGCCGTCCAAAGCCACTGCAGCACGAGTTGGATCCCAGACCAGGGAGGTGACCCACATAGCACAGCAGCCCTCTCCTGTATTGCCCATTGCTTCCTTCAGTGTTTTCAATCGATCTGCCTGTTCTTCCCACTTTGGCTCTCATGAATCGTCTTACCCCCCCCCCACTTTTGGCCTGTACCCCAGTCCTTATATGCATAAATAAATATATTTTAAAAATCTAAAAATAGCCAGTAGCCTGTTGATACTCCTTTCTCACCTCTCCTCCTTATCAATTTTGGATTATGATAGATTTAAAAGCATCCATTTTGAATATTGTGTGTTGACTGTTGTGCAAAAGCCTCTAGGGTGACAAAGGCATAATTCAAGCTGGTAGAAGCTGATGAACAAGAGTTCCACAAACCCAAAGCACAGAGCTGCTGTGCAAAATTGTAAGTAGCCAGTGTCATGGTTCATTCAAGCGATGACTTCTTAATGCTTCATGTTTTATTGATCTTAACATCAAATTATCCCAGGAATGTGTATTAACAATTTTATTTTTAAATCACAGTCAGACTAACAAAAAGTGTCACACAGTTTGATTTGGCTCATTAGTGTGGCAATAACAACAGATCTTAATATTACAAAGCAGACATTTTCGATAAATGGAGCTTCAAGTTCATGGTGGAAAATAAATTTAATATACAATAAAATGGAAATTATATCACTGACTTGTGTTTATGTTTTAAAAGTTAGAAATACCAAATTAAAATGGTATGAGGATGACATAGATCATTTAAAAGTTATTTTAGTGTTTTTAACAATTTTGAAAACCGCTAAACACAAAAATTATTACTTTTCTTTAAAATTCTTATGATTACTGTTTTACTACTTTTTAATCATTTTAGAATAGATTTTAAAATCGTTAGTTCTTGGGTTTATAAAATTTTTCAAAAGTGATTCACCTAGTAGTAAACTATGAAAAGAGTAACTTAAGAGGGACTACCAATTACCAGATATCGTAGAATTTTGGTTGAAATGAGTTTAAATTTTTAAAAAGTTGTGGGAATTAAGTTCAACCTCACTTCAATGGCATGCACAGAGTGCTCATTTTAACATTATCTATAGTAGCCCAAACTGGACAACTGAAATGACATCAATTGTTACATACTACAATGCAATTCAAATAAATGAACTCATGACACACATAGTTAGTACAAGAAACTCACCACATAATGTTGAGAATAAGAATCCACACAGGTATAGTGTGTAATTAATATAAAGTTAGGCTTTTAAAATGGGCAAAACTAGGTGATAAAACAGGTCTCTGTAATAAAACTCTGAACAGTGTTTATCTTTGGAGGACAGTGACAAAGCAGAAAATAGATCTTTGAGGTGTTGTTAATGGATGTTCTATATCTTGATCTATGTAGTGTTTCAATAGGTGTGTTCACTGTGGAAAAATCAAGCTGTATATACATTTTTGTGCACTTTGCTGAATGTAAGTTATATTTCAATAGAAGTTTACTTAAAAATAAAGACTATACTTCTTGTCCCTAAAGTAAAACCATGGTAAATATGTTGCTAATTATTCTGTCACCTATCTCTCATTGTTGCTGATAGTAGCGATGATACCCTAATGTACACTCTTGTCACTTAGAATATTATTTAGCCTTTGCCTGTGCGGCCAGGGCAGCTTCTTCACGCCACTTAGCTTTCTTTGCCAGGTTCCAACTTGTTAAAGATTCATGTCGTTCTGCAGCCTGCAAAAAAAGCAAAACGGAGCACTGACTCTCAAGAAGGAATTTTTATTTTAGATAGACATATATAAGACATATATAAACTGGAAAGAAAAAATATTCAAGAAAAAATGATCCTTTGGTATAGGCAAAAATACATAAATTATTAGATTTCCATTCAACGGGCCCTCTGATGTCAGAAATCTGACCCTCCCCTCTCTGGGAACACATGACATGGATTTCTTTTTTTAGCTTCAAAAGAAAATTATTTTGGTAATATTTGGATACCCTCAACATGACATGTTCGTTGGATAAGATGGAACAGTTATTTTCAAATGGTTAAGTTCAAAATCAAAGGGAAATCCTTAAGTACCAGAAATGGAAGTAAATCAAAAGGCAAGAATTGGTGGGGAATGAAAAGATTGAAGCCAAGATGGAAGGAAGTGATTTCTGTCAGTGGGCAGTGAGGAGAAATTGTGGTTTTAACAGATAAAGTATGGGAGTTAAATTTACACAAGGAGGTGAAGTTGCATATTTAGATAATGAGCATGGAGCTGAGCTATCAATAAGCAGCAGGAAGAATCAGGAAAATGTCTTCCTATGAAATGGCAAATTCTTCTTACATCCTATAAACTGGCAAGAAAATGAGGTATTTATCTGGGGGAAGGGGAATTCAATTGTGGCAAGAAGATAACCAGCATTGTAATTTAGAGATAACAATTCTAGCTAGAAAAATAGATCTGAGGAAATAATCTAAATGTAACAGATAAAAATACAAAAAAGAAGTCATGGAGAATCACACTTATGACATGCCAACAGAATAGCTTAATGCACAGATAAAATAGAAACATTTCAAGTTGTAGTTTAGGCCTTTTCAGAAATAAGGAAATCTGTGTCCTCAGATTTCCTCAGCCTTACACATCTCAAAAAATGGCAGCTTTTAAATCTCTCTTTCACTACCTCTCCTCCCACCATGAATTTACTATAAAGTGCTATCTTTTGTTCTCTCCAAACACATTTACCTTCATCTACCATAACCCTAGTTAAGGTATATATACATTACTTATGCAAAATTAAATGTGAACTGAAGGAGGAGCGACAGAATTGAGACTAGAAGATGTTGCAATGGATATATGTGGGTGGTTCCAGGTATTTTAAGACAAAATGGTTCTTACATAGAACAGCAATAATCCTGGAATCTAGAACAACATCAATAATATTTCTAAAAATCATAAGTCTGTCTTTGTTTTAAAGTGGTACTCACCCTTTTGGCTGATGCTATCACCAAAAAGCAGGCAATGATTGTGAGTCCCATCATTATGTAACAAGCTTTCACTCGAGCTCTGTTCCTTGCAGCATCTATCATTTCTGGCCTAAACCAATATAATTATTAATTATATTAAATTAATATGATTTCCTGACTATTATAACAGACAACTATTTGTTATATAAATATGAGTTTCCTGAATGCAAACTGCAAATGTGAGAAACTTCCAAATGCTAGCCTTTATTAATTTCAAAATAACGGGTATTGATTCAGGTCTTAATGTCAACCACAATGAAACCACAATATGTTTAGTTCTAATTGTTCAGAATATAACTAATAGAACTTTTGGATGTACTCTCCATCTGTCCCCCCCCCTCCCACCCCACCCCCCACACTAATTTGGGTAAAGGTAAGATGTACATTACGACTTGTCTTCATTTGGCCTCTGTGATACTAAGTAGGCTCTGTTTACAGTGAGCAGGTTACTTTTTCAAAATCATTCTCATCTTTTATTCCTCACTGACTTCCCAGTCTCTTCTGCTACCCTCCTGTTCTAGCCCTATTAAGGATTCCATTGTACATTTTCTGAGGGTGGCTGTAATTATACAGTAAACATTTTGTTAGAATAAATGTTAGTGAAAAGGTATTGCTTCATGGTTTTTGCATGAAGTTTTCTCAAAGATGTGATCAAAAGCACATTAATTGGTCAAAAAAAGACAAGACACCTTCATTTTCTTATTATTCTGAAATTTTATAGGTTTATTTGAATACTGGGTAGTTTAATTTATTAATAAAATTCTATTCATATTTTCTAGATTTCAGCAATATTATTACCAAGTAGTATTACAAAAGTAATCATGTCTGTGGGCCTTTTATATTAAAACGAACCTTAACAACATGCAGTAGTAAGAGATGGCAGCCTATAAGCAGTGATCCCTTGACTGAGGACATATTCAGCAGCGTTCATTATCTAACATCAAGTTTAAGTGGAATATAATTATATTTAAAAAACCTCCAGGGAAACAGTTTACAATTTCTCTTAAAAGAACTTTTAAACTTTCCACAAGTTTAAAAAGTACAGAAAACCAATTATCTAGCCTGTTTTTCTTATATTTGAAGCTGATTAGTGGTTACGTTTTACATTAGTTGCAAACAGATGAATATGAAAACATTATTAGATTATATTTGTTGTTTATTTTTGTTCTAAATGGAACCTGGAAGAACTGATTATTTTTAACCAATTCATCTGGTTTTGATCTGTTATGCCAAATTAGTTTAGTGCTGAAAAAAAAAACCAGCTATTAAATATCATTAGTGCATGGTACAAAGATTATAGGTGATTTATGAATTATATGTCCATTAAGAGAACAAAAAGTAAAAGCTACTTATATTGTAAGTCTAGTATTTAGCTCAAAAGAAAAATTCCCCTATCAGTGCTTTAAAAAGTTTACAGAAAACAATTAAATGAAAACTATTTAAATATTTTCAAGTCTCCAACCTAAAACTACAGTACTTTCCTGGGACATCTTGTTAGAAGTTTAATTTCCCATTTTTAAGGCTTCCTTAGACTGATTTTAGGGAAATAACTTTTGTGTAACATAAGTCACTTCACACATTCAGCTATGTTAATGCAATATTAACCATAGTATCTCTTGCTTGATAAACATATTATACTGGTTTCCACATTTTAATTTTTTTTCTTATAACACTAGAACTAAAAATCCACGAAAATTGATGATGGAATTTTATTTTTCATGGTGTTTATGCTCTCTATTTCTTCATTTCACAGTTAAATGATTTAAATCCTCTGGTATCAATTCCAATTTGACAGCCAGGTCTTATGATGATAAAGTCTTTTGGGGACTAATTTGTGCTTCAGGGTAAGTCTCTGCATGTAATCTAGAACTCAGGGAAACAGAGTTTGCTTTATAATACCAAAAAATGTCTCTGGTTGAACAATACAGTAAAAAGATTTCAAATTCCATGTCAATTTCTCATTAAATAGCTTGATCCAAGAACAGAATAAAAATGGTTGATGAATAAAAATGTTCACTACTGAATGATGATTTCCCTGTGTTTTTTTCCCTCCTTTTATTGGAGGTGATTTTGGTACCTGGTAAACCAATAAACTGTGAGCGTCATATCCAGAAAATGATGTAGGTCTATCATCTATCCCGAAGGCACTGATTACATTCTACAAGCATACAGAACATCTCAGGTCTAGTTGACTTTATAGTTCTAGTCTCCCTTTCTCTCTCTCTCTCTCTTTCTTTAACAGATCAGGTTTTAAAATATTAGAGATGATTTGATTCATAATTTTTCCATCCCTCTGGAAAAAGTACTAGGAAGTGACTTTTTACAGGTGATATGTACTTTTTTTCCTACGGGTTACATTTACCCTGAAAATTGTTGGCTTGCGTTTTATCATTTAGCAAGCCTCTATTTTGGATTTGGGATGATGTCCACCGACGCTGACGCCCTTGAAGGGCCCAGACCTAGTAAACCCCGAGCTCAGAGGGCAGCAGGACAGAGGCCATCTGGCTTCTCCCGCCCCCATAAAGAGATGGTCACTGATCCCTTCCTTGGGTGGAGCAGAGACCAGCCCAGAAATAAGCACCCCCTTCGCTCTAGGCGCCTGAAATCAGCTGGGGACGCACTCCAGTATGGTGTCCTCTGTTTAGCCTAAACGCGCCACTACTGCTCGCGCTAGTTCAATTCGATCCGGTATCTGAACCACGGTGAAAGTGTCCGCTGAATAGAGTTTTGACCCAACTTCAACAATCTCCCTGGAAAGATTAACTACCAACGTCTGATGAAGGAACTTGACTGTAAACTACACTCAGTGGGGGCACAGCTAAGTAAGTTCCTTAAGGCATTGAGAGTTACGTCGAGGCTTTGTGGCGCCTTCATACAGGGCTCACGCAGCTAGGGAACCCCACACCCCTCCAGGCCCCGCCCGACCCTCCCGGGCGCGTGAAACTCAGGCGAGGGCTCAGTTCACACTTACGGGACTCGAGGCGGGATCTCCTCCATCGCTTTGAAACGCCCGGTCCACAGCAGGATTTTCTTGTCGAATTGCGAAGGTTTGTGCTCTGCCGGGACCCTGTGAACCTTCCCTGCTGGCGCGTCTGGAAGGATGGGGAACGGCACATCACTGGCACAGCGGATCAAGGCAAGCTCTCGCCTTTCGAACCCCCGCCCAGGCTCCATGCCAACCCTTCCGCAGCCCCCTCCCATCCTGGCTAGTCCCAGCCCAGGCTCACCCGGACCTTGGGGCCCAAAGCCGCTGGGGGTGCCGCCGCTGGAGTAGCAGGGGAGACCCTGGGAACAGGAAGACTCGAGGGGTCGCCGCAGGGCTTCTCGAGGCGCCCAAGGGGCGCAACGTACCATGTGCCCCAAGCGGAGGCGTAGGAGGTTTCCGACGGGCACTAGCATGCTGTGCTCTATTTTTGTGCCCGCAGCCGCAGGCACAAGAGAACGTGAGCTCCCCCAACCCGGGTCCAGTCTCGCCCGCTGCGCTCCAGGGGGAGCTCAGAATGCTCAGCGGGAGCCCCCGACGCGCCTCACTCTTACTCTGGGGGCCCGCCCCCGGCGGCGACCTCGTGACTCTAGGGACCGATTCCTTCGCCTGGAAGCTTCTGCTTCTGCTAGAGAACTCCCACGCAGGGACTCGTGGGATAGCTCCCTGCTACGTGTTTTAAATGAAAATATATAGAGATATAAAGTAGCAATATATTTCCTCAAGGTTTTCACACTTTGGGTCCACTGTTTGGTGCCCAAGGAAATAAACTTTCTACACTCTTCTCCAGAAAGGGACAATAGTCTTTCAGTGCAAGAAACTTCAAATATTTATCCAAGCAAATATAAAGTCATTCAACAAATTTCTGATTTCCCCAGGTGGGAAGTATTTTGAAGTTAACTCCTCATCCCTCCTTCCTCTCCCATACTCTCCCTCTTTTCAGGCAAAAACCCTCAGTTGTTCACGATTGCTTTTCATAGTGAGCCCACAAGCTCTGAACTCTCTTCAGAAAGAGTTTGCCATCTTTCACCACCTTGTTTTTGCAAAAAGGGAGGGGAACAGAGAATTGGCTATTCTCTAGCACCTGAATGGGATCCGGGACTCAACCCAGCATCGAGATAAGGCTTGCAGGGAAGCTGTCTGCTCTGAAGGAATATACAAATTCTACTAACTCAGACTGCAGTGTCAGCCCCTGCCAGGTAAAATATGCACTTCAGGACCCTGCACGGCTCCCACCCAGCTCACTCTTTTGCTTTCGTCTGTCAGGATCCTTCCATACTCAAACAATGTATTAATTATTCATTTGGTTGGATTTCCAGTTATTTTTTTTCTTCCTAACTAGACTGTCTCGTTCTGCAAGACTAAGAACTTCTCTGTAACTCCAAGTGTCTTGCATATAACAAGTTCAACAAGAATGAAAAATTGAAACTGCAGGAATATTCATTTGCAGGAGCAATTGTGGAAAGAACCTGGGCTTTGCCTTTACAGCAAGGTTTAATTCTACACTTTGTGACCAAGAGTTGCACAACCATGATCAAGTGAACTTATCAGTCTCCATCTCATTTGTTACACAACACTTTCTAACTTTCAAGTTCATTCATAATGTTACGATAATAGTCACTTCTCTAAGCTGGTGAAGGAGTAGTGAATAATGTCCAGCAGGGATTTGTACATGAGAGAAGTAAAGGATTGAAAGAAAGGAAGAAGGGGTAGAGTGGAAACTATTTAGAAGGGATGATTAAAGACAACCTTCTAAATGTGCCTAGCACATTGTTACACATCAGAAAATGTTGTGGTGTCTTCCCTTTCTTTGTTTATTCCCAAAACACAATGGCATTTTAATTTGTGAGAAATCCAAGGAGAATTGTAGGAACCTCTGAGCTCTTATGCCTTATCATCATTGAATTTTCTGTGCTAACACTGAAAAATTTACATGTCGATAGTTAATAAGTACATATCAACTGAATGAACAAATGAAAATCTCAATAAGAAAATATATTCCACCTGGGCTAATTTAAGAAAGGGCTAAAATACTTGAGAATACCTATACAATGAGCTGAAAGAATTCCTGCCTGACAATAGTGGCCATAGAAATATCTGATGAGTCCAGGACTATGTTACTTGAAAATTATACCATTATTCAAATATGTAATTTAAAAATTTTTTACTTTTATTTGTGTTAGTATCAGTAGAACTAGAGGAGCATCTCTCTCAATCACTCAATCATTAATAGTTCACCAAAGAATATTAAACTAGTTAAGTAAATTTATTTCCCTGGAGAGAACCAAATGTCAGGGATTTACACATGATATTCTATCTCAAGCTTCCTGAGCAGAGCAGAACAGGGCAAGAGAAAAGAGGCTCGTGTCATGAGAGAAAGAACAATTTGCATTCTAGCTCTATTCCTAGTGGGATTAAAACATCACTCTTTGGCAGTGGCCTACATTTTAAAAAAATGACAGCTGCATGGGAAATGTTTTCTTTAGTTCCAGAATAAGGATAAATTAAAAACTTGAATCAACTTCTAGTAGAAGAAAAAGCTAATTGTATTCATTTTTAAAAAGCCAGGACAGAACATGTATTTATTTAAAAAATATTGGTGTGCCTCCTGTGTGCTGGGCTGTGTTCTAAACTCTGAGGTTAGATTAGGTAAAACACAGAATTCTCTGCCCCCTCATATTCATTATTCGCTTATTAAGCCACAGTACATTTCCACTTTCTATAGTTTATTTTTATGGTATACTGTTATAAGTAGGGAAAATTTTAAGTAAAGCTATTATGTAGACTAATTAAAAAGTGTGGGTAAATTTTTAAAAATTATGAAACGATGGGCCCTCCCTGGTGGCGCAGTGGGTTAAAGCACTGCACTAAGAGCTTAGGCCACCATTTCGGCATGAGTTCGATCCCCGCCTGCCCCGGAGGAGATCCACATGGCGCAGCAGACCTCTCCTGACCCGCCCGCTGCTCCCCCCAGCAGTGTACTTCGTAGATCTGCCTCTTCTTCTCCCAGCGCTGTCTGGTGAATCCTCTCACCCACCCCATCGCTGGCTTGTACCCCAGTTCTGTATGAGTAAATAAATAAAAATCTTTTAAAAAATTTTAAAAAATTATGAAATGACTGTGTGCTAGGCACCAGGTTAAGGCAGACAGGAGCTATGAAAATTACTGCAGGGCTGTCCCAGAGAAGACCCCAATCTGACTGGGATGGTGCCCCCATCAGGAAATGCCTTGCTTCAAAGAAGGGGTTTGCAGGGACTTCCAATAACTGCTCTCCAACCCTTACCAACTTCTCTACAGGAGAAGTGTTAAAGTGACAGTTTACCTATAGACCTAGAACAGAGAAGTCTTCAGACTTCAGGCAAATTTAAGTGGGTGGTCCCGGTCAGGTCCTGATTACCCAGTGGGCACTACATGTTTAGGACCCAAAATATGAGAAACACTTTGAAATAATTTTAATATTTAGAACTTAAAAAAAAAAAAAAAACACTCACACCAGCATCAGAAGTGTGTTTAAAGCCCTTGCTAGGAGAGACCACAGCATTTTCAATACTTGAGCATACCAATATCAAAACTTGGTTTGTTTATGAATTTTTTTTCTTAAAAAAAAAACATTAGATAATCTCCCTGTTCTTATAAAAATCTTCTAAAAGTTTTGTTGTGGGGGCGAGTATGTCCTGAACAAACTCCATGGGACACAGGTTTTATGCACCCCACCCCCACCCCAGACCAAAGCAATTGAAGGCACCGAGGACTACAAATCCCACAATGCCATCTCCCTGATGGTAGGATTGCCGATGTGGGGGTGGAGTTAAGACCCCGCTTGTTATATAACCAGAGGCATGTGGGTCTGGGTTGCTTGGTTCCTCTGCCTGTGTTCAGTGTGCTCTTGAGGTCCCAGCTCAGTCGAACTGGTAGGATGCATTCACCAATTTATCTCCCCCCCCCACCGCCCCAGGATTATTCCTCTCTTCATTCCCGCTTTTCGTAACCTTTAGTTACCATTTTGTGTGTGCCTGCTGTTGGGTCTCGTTATAAGATTTTTTTCTCAGTACGCAGGTGAGGACCCACACTGAGGGTTAACCCACTACACTCTGGGGTTAACTTGTAACATCTGCACATTATGCTTCAATAAAATAGAAACTTTCCCATGTTCTGTGGCACTCTGTTGGATATAGGTCTGCTCACCTCTGACTATTTCCTCTCTTCCAAATGTTTGGTCACATGAGTTTCTCAGGTCTTGTTTGAGCTGGAAACTCAACTCTGGTCTCCTTCCAGTTTCTTGAATAGCTCATATTGTCTCTCATCCCAAGGCATTTGCGTTTGCTTTTCCCTCACATGTTTTTATATTTTAGGTCCCAGGGTAGCTATCACTATATCATGGCGGCCTTTCTTGCCTATGCTAGCAAAGTAAACTCACCTCACCTTCATCGTGTTACTGGGAGTCATGCTTTAACTTCGTACTTTGTTTTCCTCTCTGCAGTTGCGCTCTGTATGTCTGTGTGTAGGATCTGCCTCTGTCACCAGAGAGCAAGCGCCATGACCAAGTTTTCGCACCTGTCCTGGACATTAAGTCATGACCAGGATGTAGCACAGTGCCTAGTATGTATATAAGTTAAGTGTGTGTTGGATAAAAGAATATTTGAATGAATGAATGAGTGAATGCATAACACAACGATAGATTACTGCCTAATTTCTTTCCAACAAGATTCTCAGAAAAGATACATATTCTCGATAACCTCCATTCCGCCTTCTCATATTCACATTTCAGCTCTCAGCAAACTGGCTCTTTATCCTGCTCAAAATATGATCTCACAAATCTTTAGTGGGTTTCTGCATCAGATCAAGTCACTGCTCGTTCCCATGTGCCCTGCTGTCCTCCACTCTTCTAATCTCTTCCAATCATCCTAGTAGATTGGCCTCCAATGTACTTTCCTCATTTCTGGTCAATTCTTTCTCTACTCTTTTTCTCTTCCTACCCTCCAGAAAGAATTTTTTTTTTTAAATATAGATGTAGTTTTATAAAACTTTAATGTTGCCCATCACTTAACTCTCTCTTTTCTAACTCTGCACCTGCATGGCTTTCCTCAGACTACAAAAAAAAAAAAAAAAAAAAAAAAAGACCAGAAAATAATCAGAAGGAGGCAAAGAGGACGCTGATTTAAATTCTCTGCCATTGTCATGTCCCTAGACATTTAAAATGTCACTAACCCACAGTTAGGTAGGACATTAAATTGCTCTGCTAACAGCGATGCATGACAGCTGTTTGTTAGGGTCACGGTTTACTTCTGGCTGGTAGAGGGAGCAGTGTGCATGATAGGGGGTCTTAGCAGAACATGACCAAATTCTGTTTGTTTGAGTTGCTTATTGTCCTGTGCCTCTCCAGGACTACCCTGAGAAGTACATTTAGAAGAAAGCTTGTTGAGTTATGGGCTCT